GAATGATCGAACACCACTCGGGTGTGCTGCATTCAACGGACATGAAGGAGTGGTCCAGTTACTCCTGGGACGGGAAAACACCGATCCAAACCGCCCGGATATTGATGATCAAACACCACTCTGGTGTGCTGCGAGAGAGGGACATGAAGGGGTGGTGAAACTGCTCCTGGTCCGGGAAGATGTCGACCCCGGCAGGCCAGATAACAAAGGCAATACGGCACTCTCCTGGGCAGCTCAAAGTGGGCATGAAGGGGTTGTGAAGCTGTTACTAGACCGGAAAGGCGTTGACCCCAATCGACCAGATGACACTGATCAAGCACCACCCCGGTGTGCTGCTAATGAGGGGCATGAAGGAATGGTCAAACTGCTGCTGGAACGAGAAAATGTCGACCCCAGCCGCCCGGATACCGATGCTGGAACACCACTCGGGTGTGCTGCTAGAGAGGTACATGAAGGAGTGATCAAGCTGCCGGTGGGCCGGGAAAATGTCGACCCCAACCTCCCAGATATGGATGATCGAACCCCACTCAGGTAAGCTGCTATCATGAGACAGGAAGCAGTGGTCAAGCTACGACAAGCCGGACTTTAGTTGAAAGCGTGGATCCGCAGCACCCTCACCAGCCTTGAAAGAGACCAAGGCGGATTTGAGGCAAAAGTGGTTCTCGTTTTATTACGCTCAAATCACCGGGATCTTCCCCTCCAACCCCACCCCTGCTCAACCTCGGGGCGCCTAGTATATGGTGTTACAGCAATCGCCATTATCCACCTTTCCTCTTTTTCATCCCTCACGTTAGTCCCACATGCTCACGAAATTCCCCCGATTGTCATTGGTGGAAATCCCACTCGTACGTAGACGTACACACCTTCTGCTACCTCCGGACACTTGTCAACTTTCACGAGTGTAGGTCTACGAGTTTTGGTTTACCCTACTTGGTGTACAAAAGCCGCAGGACCTTTATTTGTTAACCCGCTCTATTTATTTTGATACCCACTTCCTAATTCGAATAGATTCCTTACTATCATACAAAATCTCCTTTTCTTCCCTACCCCCCTCATATATCTCTTTCCCCTTTGTTTTCCCCTACTAGTGATAGATGGATAGAAAGATGGACAGATAGAGATATAAACCGCACTTGGACCGTTCTCCCCGATCGCCGAGAGCGCGACGTAGGCGTTCCTAAAGCTACCCTGAAAAAATAAAACCACCGCCAGACCCCTTGAGTGCGAAATGACACCCTTTCCGGCACAGATTTGCACTCGCCTTGCTCCTCCACGCCCGAGGGATAGCACCCATCGCACGGAATCCCTTTGAACCCCCACTCTCCCCGCTTTACCCACCAGGTCCGTTACCCCTCGTAACGAACACCAGTGGCCCAAAACCGCAAAATATGACAACTAAGCCAAATCAAGCTCAGCGGACAGAAAATCGCTTCGCTCCCAAGTGGGTCCATTCCGGGAGACCGGCCATATCAGTAGACATAGTAGCCAACGTTCATCAGTGAAAGGACTCCCCCCGTCCAAGAGGCGGCCCAATTTTAGGATAGTTATTCGCTCGTTGCCGCTATTCAGGTCGGGTACAGTTCCCGACGTTGTACATTTCTGCTAGAGTTTGCGGAGTTACGAGTAGAACGGACGCTACAAGTGCCGGGAAAATCGCCTTCTGCGCTCCGACTCGCTAGAATGCTAGTTGGCTGAATAGAGAGTAACTGGAGGTGGACAGAGTGGATTCGCTCTACTATAAACACCATTTCTACCAGCCTTACCATATACACCATTATAATTTTATTCAAAATTATGAGAAGCAATCGGGAATTTCGGACAATATAAACTTGTTGCTCATTGCTCCGGGTTCCGAATCTAGGAACAGAAACCCCGAAGGTGAGAAGATACAAAATCGTCCGCCGCGTGGTGGCGCAAGGACGAATAAGGAGCCGAACATATTCTCAGCGCCCGTGCTAGGATACACGCTATCTTGCGGGGGGGGCATTGTGTTCCTCCCCCAGAACCCGCGGAAGCCGAGACAAGCGCTACAAGTGAACAGGGTGAGGGAGAAAAGGTAAAAAAACGAACGTGAGGAGGTACGAGTCTCATGGGCGATTGGAATAACGGGGCGCCCTTATGGCTTAACCCGGAGCGATGGCATGGGGATGCTGCGCGGTGCTGGCCGCAACTGCTCTTTGCTTGACGGTGTAAGCGGCAGGCATCTTCCCCAACCCCGAACAGATCTCCGACAACAACCAACACCGCAACCTCACCCGGTAACGTTAGCAAACCAGCAAACAAGTGACAGTCCCGGAGGCAGACGTTTCTAGAGTCCCCAGCCGCCACACTGCCAAGGCCAATTCTGGGCGTTATAGGCTCCCTGCCCGCGTACACTTGCGCACGGGATACGACACAATTGCACGACGCCTTTCATCGGACGCGGTTCCGCACGCCCATTTCACCCTCGAGAGCGGACAAGAGGCAATGATCTATAGTATGATATCATAACTTCTTTAACTAAACGGCAGAGAAACGAATGGGATCAGGTTCACGCCCTTACCCCATCCTAGGTACCATGCAGCGCATCACCACCCCTAGTAAGAACGATTAGTTGGTCTATATAGGAACCGTTAGTAAATAGCAGCAGAGGCGGGAGTTGTCTGTGTGGAGCGACACCGCCACGATGCCCAACCAAGCTTCAGGAACAGGTAGTATTGCGTCGAAAAACTCGGAGCAACAATCCGCCCTAAAGGATTCGTAGAAGATATCTGTGCATAGACCACAGGGATTCTGAAAGCAGATGCCGAGCTAGCCAATGGGAAGCCAATCCCGCAAGAAAAGGGACCGAGCCATGAAAAGCAAGCACATTGGACCACTTCTCTAAACCCAATTAAACCTTGAGCCTCTCTACTCAGGTTTTTTCAATCGAAATTGGAATTGGAATCATTTTCTGATAAGTTGACATGATGTGAGATGTGCCGAAATGAAAATAGGGCAGTAAAAGTCTCTTTTGTGTGTCTGTGGTAGTGGTAGTGAGGATTCTCCCGTAAAATCGAAAGATGGCTATAAGATAGTTAATCACGATCGACCTCTTCTCCCCCAAACAGTATTCCTAGCATCGCCCGTTTCACCAACCGCTCAGGCGGGCTAGGTAATCCAGCAGAGTCTCCGTACACCATAAATCCTGTCAGCTTGGTCTCACCCCTGCTTCCATTACTGCTAGCCCGAGAAAGAAAACAGCCGAACATCACCGTCCGTAAGGAAAAACCAGAATAGGATTTTGATGTCCTCATAATATATAGACAAGCAAAAGTGCACTGTAGTCCGGATTGAATCAGGCATCATCCTCCCGGCTTCCAGGTTCCCCCCCCCCCTTACACTTCCAACCCCACCTCAGCTACCACTGTTCACCAGTAATGAAATAATCAGACATTGACATTGAGAAAGTAACCAACTATCATACTAAGCTAACCCCCCGGACATAACGCATCCCAAGCCATGCCGCAAGCACAATTGGCCATGAGGACCCGAGAGATCTAACGTCAAGCACAAACCGGTATCACGGGTAGGTTTACTATCCCCGTTAACTCACCTTTACCGTGGGCAGGAGAGGAATCACAACTCTCCAATATGTAGATGGTAGATTGGGGTCGTCCCGATTCCCCACATACCAGATAGGCCGGAATTCCCGGTATAGCGGTAGGCAGCTCCACAAGTAACAACAGGTAGCTTCTCAAACCCAGGTAACCAAAGCGCCAGCCCCGCAAGAACCCCAGCGACGCCGTTCCCAACCCGCAGACAAAACCGCCGTATCATACCACACATCATAATATCATATCCCCTGGGCCTCAGCTCCCAGCAGGTCCAACCCCAACTCCAAACCCCCCAAAAAGCTCCAACCGGCATGAAATCATACATCCCCGTCTATCAACATCCACCTAAACTTCCCGATCTCCGATATCTCATACCCCAGCATGCAAAAAAGTGCCAAACCCCCACCGGAAAACCACACAATCCCAGCGGAACACCCACCACGGACCTTTTTCGCGCAGCGCGCACAACCCACACTTCCGAATTTCTACGTACGTAACTGCTGTGCGCACCGCGGTAGGCGCCGCAGTGGTATCCTATTGTAGCGCCAGAAAAGGTACACTGTACGATACCGATACAAGAAGAAATCTCCAAGCGAGCAAAAGTCTGAATTATATATTCAACAGTACAGTACCATTCACATCTGGGTACTGACCAGAAATTCAGCCTGCGGTACTAGAAGAAGGAAAAAAAAGAAAAAAAACACAAGTAAATTTTAGGCCACGGCGTCAAGTGGATGGGTAAGTCCGCCATCCCACACAACTTAGCCCGCAAAGAAAAAAATATTTGGCAGAACCCCGCGCAGTTATGATACTATCATACACCGTCGTTTCCTTGCTGCCAGAGACGTTACGACAGCATCTCTCCTAAACTCTGCGAGCAAGGGGAAAAAGAAAAAAAAACAATCCTTAAATATCGTAATCAAGTCTCAAGATGCAACTTCATCAACGCATTTCTGACGAAACATTACTCCCCTACCTTACCTACCATCCAAACACCCCCGAAACAGCGATTCCTCACTTTAACCGCGGGAAAGTACCACGATGCTACACTCCAAATACCTCTTGTTCTTTTTTTGCTCTCGTTTTTTTTTTCGCCTGCCGGCGGCATGAAAGGGTAAAAAGGAGATGCTAAAAGTTCAACCGAGTGATAGTACATGATTATCACGTGCTTTTTTTTCCCTTCCAGAAGTGCACACATTGTCCCCGTCTGTTTTGGTGGGGGTAATGCCTTATCGCGTGATAGTTTCACGCTCCCGTCGGGGGGGGTACCATATCTCGGTGGGTCTCGCCCTATACGAGTACGGGTACTGTACTAGCACGGTATGATACTTGTGTATCAAACCGCCCGGAAATCTTCAAGATGTAGAGTAAAAAGTGTGTTAAGCGGAATATCCCAAGTGGGTGGATGATGCTCCAGCGGCGCGATGCCAGCGATGACGATTCATTAATCTGCTAGGCTATTCGCTAACATATACTCGTATATTAATATTACAGTAAAGCTCGGGATGAGCGACAAAAAGAAATACCGGTATAGTACAAACACCTAACCTGGAATGGGAAAAGATAAAAAAAAGATGAAGCGATAGACTAAGCTACAACATGGATAAAACTAATCTAAAATGAAATGAAGAAAAGCATTCATGCACCTTTACGCCCCTCGCCCGTACCCCCCCCCCCCCCACCAGACCAAACGACCCAACCAAACAAGCCCCGCTCCCACCGCGCTATGCAATGATGGGAATGAATGAATAAATGAATAAATGAATGAATGAAACTCCTGCACCCGCCCAATCCCAAAAGCGCATAAGAAAAATGTCTATGAAGGAAGAAAAGGCTAAAAGAATGAAAGGGGGGTAAGAAATCGATCTGGAATTAAAAGTAATAATGGAATAAGAAAAAAATAAAACACCCTCGAAATGATTCTACCTTCATTTCTTCTTTTCCCTCGCACATACCACCTACCACAATCTAATAGAATCCCCCGACCTCCGACTTGATGGGAACAAACTGCGTGCTTGCGCACTTCCGGCCAAAACTCAATGTGAGCATCTTCCCCTTTCTGTCCACTGCAACGAGTCTGTCACCCTCTGGTGTGAACGCAATCCTCCCCGCACTCTCGGGAGTCTGCTGCCCTTGCATGCGCTCTTTACTATGCAGCGTACTAAAGGTAGTCAGGTTATTGTCACCCTCGACATGCGTAACGGGGATAATCCAGATGAGGCCAGACTTGGTCAGGAACGCTGCTGCGTTGCCGAGGGGCGCGACGGTGGAGTGCGTTACTCGGAGGCCAACCTGGCGGATTGGGCGATGGGAGGGTGTCGTGGAGGAGATGCTCGTGGGTTCGGTAAAGGAGCCACACCATTCTGCTTCTACGGTGCTGGCTGGGAAGGTGCTGCAGAAGATGTGGCGTTTATCGGGGAAGAGAATTGCGTTGGAGAGGGTCTCGGCGCCGGGGCCCTGGGAGAGGTTAGTTTTTCGTATCACATACGGGAGGGATGGAGGGAGCCTACTTCGGTGACGTTTAGCGCACCGCTAGCAATTAGGTGCGGGTCCTTCGCTCGCACGCGGGAAATGTCCCAGGAGAAAAAGTAGCCGCATTTCGATGTCGCGCAGGTTAGGTGATTGCCATCTTGGGTCAATGAGATTATGTGCGGAGCGTCCGGGGTTGCGCGGATGTCCAGCGGGAGGTGGAGGTCTCTTATCCGTTCGCACCGGAGGCCCTGATATGTTGGTGCATTCATCTTGTAGATTCGGATTAGGCCTTGGGTTTCATCGCGTATCTTCTTAGACATTCCGACGACTATCTTGTCACCTCCGATGGCTACGCAAGCATTCTCCCAGCCGGTTGTGGATTCTGTGAAGATGACCTTACAGTCTTCGATTTCATGAACCTGGACCTGTCAGGGGAAGAGGGGAGGAAAATGTTAGGATCAATTATTAGCTTACAGGATTCGAGGTGCTTACCTTCTCTTTGGTGATCGCCACAATGTACTTGCCCGAAGCAGCTCCCGCCTTGTATGTCCATGGCACCTTCCCTTTTCGAATGCCCTCTGCCGAACCCAATCTGTAGTGGAATTTTGGTTTTGTCGATACGTTCTCTCCGGGCGAAGGTGTTGAAAAGACTTGAAAGGACTGGGGCGACATGTAGACGGCATATTTAGCATCTGATGATATAAAAGTGCTGAAGCACGAGTCCTTGCATTGCACCTTAAAAACACTTTCAACCGGTTGACTCTCGTACTCTATTAGGGAGTTTGCTTCGGCAGGAACCGGCTCAACGCCACAGTGTATTGGGTGTAATACTGGAAGACCAAATTTAGAGGGATATTGGCTCAGCGGTGAGGCCCTTTCCATCCCAAAGTCATCCATCTTGTCACTCCGCATTTCCAACGCTGACTGCGACCTGACAGGCTGCGCCGGTTGTCCAGGAAGTACAGGCTCAGGTGCATCCTCGGCAAGAATCGTCTCCCTGTCGATACATGGGAGAGGCTTATTGAGTTGCAGACTGTGGAAACGTCTCGAATCACGGCTAGCGAACAACCCGGGTCTTCGCGAAAAAAATCTGCTTGCGCGTGACTGGCGCTTCAGCGAACCCGTTTGCGTTTGACCCGATGGCGTTCGCGACAAGGAAGGCTCCGGGTAAGTGGAGGTGGGCGATCGGAGCGGTGGCTCAACCATGGCCTGGCTGTAAACAGATATGCGTTGGGAGTTCATGGGTTGCGATTTTTCGGAATCCGAAGTTTCCAATGCTCCTTCTTCTTCGCCTTCCTCTGGCAGTGGTAATGTCGAGCGATCGTCTTCGACCTCGAATGATTGGATGGGCAGCTCAAAGTCCACCTTCCCCACGTTAGACCCGGAGGGGAGGTCTCCGTCATAAAGTTCAGGCTCCTCAAACATGGCGTCGGCAAATAATTGGTCGAGCCCATTGAAGCGCAAGGTGGTGTCCAGGTTTGGCGTAATGGCTTCGTGGGGTGTGGTTGGTGCAGGGTAGGCGGTATTACTCGTAGGTGTCATATTTGGCGAGGCCAAAGCGGGGAGAACAGGGGATTCGATTGGCGAGTCATCTCCGGGGGCTGGGCTTAGCAAGGTGTGGCAGGTACTTTCTGTGGGTGATGAGAAAGCCTTGCACGGTGTCGAATCGGTGGGGCTGAATAATGTCACAAGAGGGCTGAGCGCCGATTCACAAGTAGGGGTTGATGTTCTGCTAACGTTTGTATCGCAGGTTGGTGCCTGGCTGGACAGAGTTGGCACTTGGCTGTGCTGGCTGCCGGGCATGCTCGTTGAAGCGGTGGATCTAGGCCCTTCATCCCACGGTGCCAGATGTAGAACCTCATTGATAGTCTGTGATATCCGAATTGGTGAATATGCAGCCCGCATTCCCTGCAGTCGCCGTTGCATGGATTCGACGGCACCTTTGTAAAGAATCGACCTCCTCTCGCAACGATCCATGGCGTCTCGTTTCTCCCTTTTCAGCTCTTCCACCCTTAATGATTCGTCTTCGCCCGTGGGAGGCAGGATTCCGGCTTGTGATATGTTCTCAATATCAAGGTCTAAGTTTCGCATTATGTTATAATACTCCTCCTCACTACAGCCAGCGGTAGCTGAGATAATGATTTCGAACTACAAATTTAACCATAAGCCACGTTTCCAACCTGAAACACCCAAAGAATACTTACGGCTTTGTTTCGAAACTCCTTCTTATCCGAGGTCAGAATCAGTTTCAGCGCCAACGACTTGGCACCCTCCACAATCTCATCGCATTCCGGGAACGCCATAACCAGCTGGCCCGTCAGATCAAGGAGGCCAGATACCAGTAATCTAGTTTCAAGACTCGGGAGATCTCCTGTTTCATCCCGCACAATGCTACGCCCGTCATCACTGACCGATCCCCCCGAGGGAACGAATGCCCTTAGGCCGAGCTCTATTTTATCGACAATAGATTTAGCAATTTCCGTTGCTAAAATGCTAGCATACTGCGAGGCACGCCCAATGTCGCTGCCGTATTGAGCCTGGTGGTGGAGAGATATCGCCCCTGCGGTTCCCTCGTAGAGGTGGCGCACGTCTTTGTGCCATCCTGAAGGTGGAGCCGTTATTCTAGCCCATATCTTATCAAGAGCTGTTGGTGTTGTCGCGCCTTCAAGCTGATTCTTAACAAAAGGTCAGCAAAAACGAACGAATAAGGCCAAAAACCGGATAACCTACAATGTAACCGGCTGCGAAGAGGAAATGTATAGCCTGAGAGTTCATCTCCGTGAATTTCGGAAGCTCGCTAGGCATGCAGCGAATGAGATCGCATGCATAACGAACGAGAAACTCGACATCTCCATTGCTAACCCACTCCCCGGAATCCTCCGTGTACCTCGCCCGGTTGTCATAGTCCCTCTCGGAAATATCTTTCAATAACTTTGCGTAGGCACTGTTGTCGAGTTTCCCGATCCTCAGCTGATACAAGAGTGATAGGGCGGAAACCAGTGTTCTGAGCTGTAGCTCTCTCGAAGGCGAAACGCCATCCTTGTCCTTCCTCACCATTCTCCCAGCCAAAACCTCCGCTATCCTCAACACCAAATCGATATCGAGATAAACGTCATCCGGGAAGGAGGGGGGTTGTGGTAGCGAGTGATAGGTTGCCTGAAGGTCCAGAATAACTTTGAGGAAGAACACCGAATTATATGCAAAAGCCTTCTTCATGCGACTCAAAGCATTCCTAACAACACCATTTATTCCAGGATGCATCCAAAGCATCTTCTTTGCCGCTGCGAACAGGTCGAGTTGTGCCGAATCCGACCCCGCCCCATCCTCCCTCAAGACGTTGCTGTTGAACTCGTCGTCGCTCGCGTACATCTCAATAGGGCCATCGCCCTCACTCGCCGGGGGAACAGCGATGGCGAGAAACATGGTACCGGACATTGTAACTTCGGTTCACGAACATTCAAGCGTTCAAGTTGGAGCAAAATGCGTTCAAAAAAAAAAAAAAGCACGGAACAAACAGGTGCGGGCGGGAAGTGACTTAAATCATTAGCAAACCAACCCTATTGTGCCACCAAGCCATACCCCATTTTTGCACACATCGCTCCCTCCGATTTATCATCGGATGCGTGGGAGGCTGCCGGTCAAGCAGTAAGGCTATTGTCTACCGTAAATTTATGTCTTTCCCGTGCAGCGGCGTCAAAAGCAATCCACAGTGGGAGGATTTTTGATTTTTTTCGGCTTAGCCCACGGACATAAGCCCCAACCACCCTTATCCTTCAGGGCGGTGCGAGTGCATCACTAAGCTCTCCCCATGCTTGCCCAAGTACTGTAGATAAACCCCCGGCCATACCATTGGGGAGGCAGTACTGCGGCGAAAAGGGCACTCGAAGGGTGAGAAAGAGGGACCAGCAAACAAATGATGAGAAGGAATCACAATTGGGTGAGCGCAACCCACACTTCCACCCCCCCCCCTACCCCACCACTTCCCTACAGGTACTCGAGTCCTAGTACAGTACCACCACCCATCTGCAAGCCGCATGCAAGGAAGAGGTACAGACAAGGAAGCCCCGCCGACACATCCGGATGTTCTGCCCGATTATTGGCGAGCGCGACTGCGAGCTTTGAGCGGGACCAATTGCAAGGATGGACGGTGTCCTCGAGCCCAGCGAAAAACCCGTGAAAGGTCAGATGTGAGAAGTGAGCGCGGCTAGTATCACCAAAAGAGCGCTACTGCCATCTCTTCTTGGGACGTTTCAGAGCGCGAGAACAAGAGACAACAGTACTCGTAGAGATGCGGTGTGACAATGTTTTGGTGTTTTCACAAAGTACGAGCATTTGATCCTAAGTTGGGATTGACCCCCTGGCGATGATAAAAATCTCTCAGAGAACGCATTTACCTATGCGAGTGCCGTGCTGTGAGATGCTGGGGATCACTTATCGTCGGAGGTTTTTTTTTCATCCGCCGTTCGCCCAACCATCAGTGTTGCAATTCGACAAATAGAACCAACATTATCCCCTCAAGATATATACGGAGTAGTGCCAGACAACCAAGGCCCGCCCTCCCCCCAAAATTCCCGGAAAATCCGGACATACTAAACTATCAACATTTGAGAAAAACCCCCGAAAAGAATTCCTCTGGTAAATTTGGTAGAGAACCCCTCTTAAAATCATCTAATGATTGCTATCTCATTTTTGCCTTATCAATGCATCCAAAATCAATGCGTGGAATCAGGTCGTGGGGGGCCGCTCGATAATGATGTGTAACACCCTCCAACTCTAACCCATACCACCACAATAACAACTTTCCGGAGGAACTTGGGTGAAAACAGAAGCCATGTGCTTGTATGAGCTCCAATCCACTATTCAAACAGCTTTACAAGGGAAATTCGCAGTATACCTTCTTAAGGAGAGACTATTCCCGATTTAGAAACTCTCGACGGAATTGGCCACGAGGGCAGGTTTCGGTGTCCGGAACCACAGGTAAATTGGGCTCGAACCGAATTCCCTCAAAGCGCTCCTTATGCTACCGATGCCACATGATATCGGTAGGGCATCACACCAGCTGCGAACAAATCAACCGTTCGTCTGGCCCTGAACTCTGCCGGGGAAAACACAGCACGACACGAGCAGGTATGGTATCGGCCGCCGGTAGTTGGCTCCAGCGAAACAGATCCCCCAACCAGGGCTTTGCCCATGATGAGTAGTGGTGTCTCTTCCCACAAAGTACCGTGAAGAGACAACACGCTGCTGTCCGAGTACAAAGTACCGGTATGGGGCGTCACGTATCGGAGGCACTTGTGGATACCGGACTGCATACGGTACTGCACTGTACCGGTACAAGTACACACCTTCGTGCATACCGGCAGTGGAGCCGGACGAATATAGGTCTGCTCATGCGAGGAAGAAAAAAAGAAGGATCTTATCGATCGGGAAAGAGAGTAAGCCAGGCCCGCAGGGACCCGGGGTCTTTTGAAACAGCTATTATAATTAAGCTACGGTACCGAAGACGAAAAGTGCAGTTTTGCAGTTTTGGATCCTGCTGGAGCATCGACGTTACAGTACTGTACGAGTACATTGTTGCACGCGGGCGCCGAAGTGTACCGTGCGGTACCGGGATCTCACGGTTTCCCCGCCGACGTATCGCATTGCTCGAGCGGCAGGTTGGGAGGTCCGAGTCCGACGATACCATATTTAAATTTACCACCCAAGGAGCGGATCGAACGCCGATATCCAAACGTCATCGAACCCAGCACCAAAGGTTCAGACCGTCCTATGCATCGGTGAGACAGGTAGGATAGCATGCACTGTACGAGTACGAGTACTGTGCCGGTACCTGTATCCAATTATCACGAGACCGGCATAGGAAAAAGACTGCAGGACCAAAAGCCCATGTTTAAGATCCTCAGGGGTTTAGGGATGGCCAGGGGATCTGTGGCTGGGGTTGGAAAGGGAAGGACAAGATAGCGTCCGTTTTTAGCACAAGATGAGCCAATGGTGGTAGTGTAGCGGTGGTCCTGGCTGGATGGAGCATTATTGCATTGTACTTGTATCATGTCATACTTGTACAGTACGGTACGGTACTCGAGGAGGCTAGAGAAACTTGGACTAGGAAGACGGGGGCAGAGTGAGTCCTGTCACCCTCGCCCACACCATGAGCGACTCACCAATAATAAAAACCGGACCATCGAACTACAGTACTGTATCTATCTTGGGAAACCACAGAAACCCTAAAAATCGTGGGTTGGGTTGTGGCTTGCGCCTGGGAATGAATCCCGAAAAATGGGTTGAACAGGGAGCAAAAGGCTGGGCTGCAGGGGTGGGGCGGTGACCAACTCGCCCTTCCCACCTTCTCGCAACCATCCACACCATCTTGCTGCCGCCGCTCTGGATTACGAGCGGATAAGGACAAGGTTAGTAAAAGGTGTGTGGCACCGTACCAAAATAGCTGCAGGCGAAAAGCGATCCCTGTTTGGGACACATTTAGACCACGAATACCGCACCATCCTCCCGCTGCCGTTGCAATCCTCTTCCAGTTTCTCGTATTATATCATACAAGACACGGGGGATGGGGGGGCTCAGCGAACAATAAGCTAAAAAGGTTCTTGGTGAAGGTCGGTTTTATTTCATGCCCACGCTACCGTACCGTGGATATCCTTCCACACTGCCACAGACAACCGCAAGTATCATAGAAGGAAATCCCCGGCACACCGGAAAGGGGATGGGAGGCAAATAATAGGGCTGTTGAAATGTACGAGTACGATTCCCTTACCGGTACTGTATGTACCCTATTGAGAATAGTATTCCGGAATCTGCTTCCCCGCGGCCAACCCGACCAAAAACCTCTGACCCGGGGAGTGGCCTCTCCTCGAGAAGGTGTGATATACCGCAGGTTCCTCTTTGTAAAATCGTTTTGAATAACAAATTAGAATTTGCATACGGTATGGTTTTTGTCCCCACCTGCCGTATGGTCCTCCAGAAAGTTCGCGGCGGCCGGTTTGACTCAAAGCCATACGAGTAGATGTTGCACATCTTTATCAAATGACCCCCCGCAGCACGATTCCAGTCACCGATTTCGAATGCATCGATAAGATGCACAAAATTCACCAGAGCAATTCTTTTTAAAGTTCTGCCTTTTTTCCTTTCTCAAATGTTGATAATCCAGTGCGCCTAGATTTTCCAAAGAAACTTTGTGTGGAGGAGGAGGGTAAGTTAGGTTTTTGGTTGTCGGGCACTATATTAAACTTCAGTGACACAGAAGCCTTGTCAAACGGTTCCGGGCGCGATCCGCGCAGCAGGCTAGCTATGATATGACAGTACAGTCCATTTCTGTGAGTGGAGAGAAGTGGTGGGGGCTCAACGATGCTCTGATCGATAGGCTACGGTATGGCGTCGTACCACTTTTCCCCTGTCATAGCGCTCCAAAAAAAAAAAAAGTGCAAATCCAACTGTCGCCTTCTTGAAACCGATTAGCTGACCCTAGTCTTTGAGTGTGAGGCTTCAGAATCCCTTAATAGCTTGGGCTGGATTCTCGTTGGTGGCTGGATAACGTCCCCGTGGGAGAGGTTAAAAGAGGTTCTGGTCATTTCCCCCCCCTCCAAAAAAAAAAGCAGATGGACAAGGGCGGACATACAACCAAATCGAATTCAAGAATCACTCGCCGCAACCAGCCAACCCTCATGCTTATAGAACCAGATCAAAGAAGTCCTAAGGAATCGACACATCGTCGGACGGGCACCCAGCCGGAGGAAGAAGAGATCATCTTCACTGCGCAGCATTTCAATTGGTATGTTGGTAATGTCTGGCATTTTGCAGAACGAAGCAGTACCACTAATTCCCAAGATTGGTCCACAGTTTGGAAATAAAATAAAAATTGAAGATAAACATAATAATAGCGTTACAGTAAGCATACCTTAAAAACTTAAAACACCCTACGTACCATACCAGAGGATAGCGGTAATAGAAAACCCACCTCAGCTGCCACAACTAGGTATGATACCACCACCATCATTCTGAGCAGGGAGAGGGATAAACAGAATCAGAGCTACTCATGAGTTAGCTGCTCGTTGTATTCTTGCAGTAGGACCCCTCCCTCATGTCTGCAGTGCTACAAGTGAGAGTTTTAATTTACGTCCTCCCGGTATCATAACTCCTCTCCATGGCGATTGCGTCTGGGAGAAGATCTCGTTGTGAGTTCCTGCAAAGAGCTAGCTCAGCTCAGCGGCCGGGTGCTCATCGGGTACAGCATCAGTTTTCAGGACGGGAACAACCGTCGGGCCCTCGAAACAACCCACTGCGCCACCAAACAAGCCTCCAAAAAAACAAACAAACAAACAAACCACTCATACCGATTCCAAGTACGGTAGTGGGTGGGGGGGGTGGAAAAAGGAATAGCTGAAAACGATTAGAACTTCTCAAGATTGTATGATATCATAGACAAACCAAGAATTCCCTGTGGCATTTGTATTCTTACACCTAGGGGCTACTCGTATACTCGAGGGCATGCGAAAAGCCACAAGTGGCGATCTGGAGATAGTCTAAAGCTCCATCTGGCTCGCCGTTGACTGAATCGCCCATCGATTCAAAACTTGTTCCGGAGCTATGATATTATTATACCTTGCTAAGAAATTTGCTTAATATGCCCTTGGTTTCTCAACGTTATGCCTTCACCCGACATTATTCTCACATCCAAAAAAAAAAAAAAAAGAGCTGCCAAGTCGGGCGGTTTCCATGGGTACACTCCCCAATTTTTGCGAGATGAACTGCGGTTAAGCTCGAGTTCGTCCCACTTATTATTGCCTCCTATACAGGGAAAGCCTTCTGGACATACCGGTATTTCGGGAAATGACCAAGCCGTTGACATGCATCCGAGTGATCGAGCATGATTTCCCCGATTCCGGGAGTGTTGATATGCACGATATATACAATTCACCGGGATTAAACGGATAGCAAGTGTACGCGCCAACAGCTTCTTCACACATGGTACGGCAAGGAGCGATATGTTATCATCACCATGATCGCCATGCTTGCTAACCGGAGTGAGGGCCGAAATAACCCCCATCGCAACCCCTCATCCACCCATGAATTGACAGGTCCAGCCGGGTCACCGGGACAAATAGCAAAGACCCATAGTTCCGATGGAGAATCACTGGGATGCGGTGTTCTTGTCGACCCATGCAGTTGAGAAGATGCTGTGGGGAAACGTGCGGGGAAGTGGGGGTTCGTGATCATACGGAGGTGGCAGAACGAAACAGTTTTATGACCAAAAAATAGTTGTTTGCGGGCAAGCAACTCATCTACCGGTACCCTACGTTTTAGGATTATGTCGAATGATATGAAATTGCATATGATACCATCCATCCGCTGCACTCGCCACAGCGCTCTTCACCCCTCCTTGTGTGTCCCAAGCCTGCACTAGCCGAAGGCCGTTTCAGTTGCTCGCCAAAATCAAAAGTCTGTCTGTCACGGGCCTTTATCTCTCACAATCACTCGACACTTCTGGAGGCACTGGTTTGTGGGAGCGGTATTTGGTTTTGTGAGCGATAGCTATCAGCAGAATTCTCCTGCCGTGGGGACTGCCAGAGGAGAGTAACTGCCGTGTTGCCACAGGCAGCTATACCTAGGGGCATCTTCATATACCGGTATCCCCTGCCCATCGATAAGATATTTACTAACCACAAGGTATACCGGTATGCCGAAAGCACGATGGTTCTACCAGACATCCATAAAACCTGCAGGCTTTAGGAAGGCCGGGTGTACGAAGCCCAGGTCAGTCTTACTCAGACCCGGCCAGGCCGGACAGTATATCAATAGGCCATCTGGGGTGCTTGCGAAGGCCACTTGAGGTTCCACAGTACTGGGTACAGGTGGAAGAAATATGGCCAGCTAACTCAGTCCTGGGAGTGACTTCAGAAGTTCACCGGGTTCCCACGCTGCTGCTTGGGGGCGATTCGGTTTTGCTAGATTCGGGTCTCGGCAGGGGGTGCGTAGAGAGAAAAGAGAATTTTTTTCTCAACGGCAACGTGGCGCACTCGAGTTCCCGTATCATACGACCAGGTACTATCCATGAGAACACCTCTCCTGGCACTTGTATTGTACAAGTATTGCACGTGGCTGAGGCTGGAGTTGAAGGTTCTGGAAGACTTCCAGAAGGTGGCTGCGCTTCGCTAACCCTTCGAGTACCGGTACCGGTATTAAGAAAGAAAGGGCATGATCATGATAGAACTAGGGTGGTCTCAAGTACAGTACGGTGCAGTAACCGTACCGGTATTATGTGGGGACAGATGCTCGGTACTCGAGCGCTTGGATTAGGCATAGGGAGATGGCCTATCGAAATGTAAGTTTGGGACATCGAATTTTGCTGTAGGGAGGGATAAGTCTGCATTGTCAAGAATGCCAAGGGTCCGAAAAAGAGTTACGGTACATGTACGGCTAGGCAGCCTCAGTCGCTCTCCGCCCCCTGGTGGCGCGAGGGGGTGAAGTGGACGGAAACAGGGTTAATTGGCCGGAATAGGTCGTTTCTATTCTTGTCTTCTACAAAATTACCCTCAAAGTGGAAAATTGATGGTCCTGCCGCGTCATCTGACCATCACGTGATCAACAGCGATCTATGGCTGGTAAACAGAAACACACAGACCACAGCTTCTACTCGTACAGCAGCACTGGAGCCACATCATCCAACGCACCCAGAATCCTATCAATTTTTTCGCCTCTCCAACAAGTTGACCCCTTTCCACCGGTCCGCACCCATCGCATATCCGCATCCACTTTGCTGATCCTTCGAAGACCTATACACCTTTGCCTCCTGATTTGATTCGCTATGGCTCAGCAAGCGTACGGATCTCCCCTCTTTTTCTCTTTTTTTTTTCCTTCAAAACGGCTCCTGAAGAGCCTCAAAGCTTCACGATTCTGACCCTTTGATAGCAGCGTAAACGTGAACGACCCTGGGCTGATTACGCTTGTGAATAAGCTACAAGATGTGTTTGCAACGGTAGGGGTATGTTTATCCCCCTATTTCTCCCAGCTTTCTTCCTTTCCTCGGGGGGAGAGCTTATATCGGCGCCCAGGTACAAAATCCTATCGATCTACCCCAAATCGTCGTGGTCGGATCTCAGTCCAGCGGGAAAAGCTCTGTGCTGGAGAATATTGTCGGCAGAGACTTGTGAGTAAAAGGAGATCATGCCCTTTGTTGCTGGCGATGGTGATGATAATTTTTTTAGTCTTCCCCGAGGCACCGGTATTGTCACCAGACGACCCCTCGTAAGGCATATATCCACCCTGTTAGCTTTCAAGGACTAACTGAACAATCGTAGGTTCTTCAACTCGTCAATCGCCCCGCACCAGCTAGAGCAAATGGAGCTCCCAAGGAGGAAGCTGAGATGCAGTCTAGCGATTCTGCAGCTAATGTTGATGAGTGGGGCGAATTCCTTCACATCCCCGGCCAGAAGTTTCATGATTTCAACAAAATACGGGACGAAATTGTGAAGGAGACCGATGCAAAGACGGGCCGGAATCAAGGGATATCTCCTCTGCCTATCGGTCTCAGAATCTATTCGCCCAACGTTTTAACCTTGACTCTGGTGGACCTTCCGGGTATAACAAGAGTTCCTGTTGGAGATCAGCCGAAGGATATCGAGAGGCAGATCAAGGACATGATTCTCAAGCACATCACGAAATCAAACTCTATCATTCTGGCAGTCACAGCCGCCAATACCGATTTGGCCAATTCTGACGGTCTGAAGATGGCAAGAGAGGTCGATCCGGAAGGTGAGCAAGGTCTCCCTAGAATGTGGCGGGCGATTTACTGATTGTGGAACGATAGGTCAGCGAACGATTGGCGTTTTGACGAAAATCGATTTGATGGACCAGGGAACCGATGTTGTTGATATTCTTGCTGGTAGAATTATTCCTCTGCGACTGGGATACGTACCCGTTGTCAACCGTGGCCAACGTGATATTGATTCCAAAAAGGCAATCTCGGCAGCGCTGGAGCATGAGAAGCGGTTCTTTGAAGAGCACCGCGCTTATAGGAATAAGCACACCTACTGCGGAACGCCATATCTGGCGAGGAAGCTGAACATGGTAGACAGTCCTCTACCGCTTTCTAGCTCGCTTTCACTTGCTGACCGAGAGCCCTATCGTGTAGATCCTGATGATGCACATCAAACAAACCTTGCCAGAGATCAAAGCCCGCATCTCCTCGTCCCTTCAGAAGTATACCGCTGAGCTTTCCTCACTTGGTGACTCTTTGCTCGGGAACAGTGCCAATATCGTTCTCAATATCATTACTGAGTTCTGCAACGAGTATCGGACAGTTTTGGAAGGTAACAATCAGGAAATTTCTAGTATCGAATTATCCGGTGGCGCACGTATCAGTTTTGTTTTCCATGAGCTGTATGCGAATGGCGTGAAAGCGATAGACCCTTTTGATTATGTCAAGGATATTGATATTAGAACCTATCTTTACAACTCCTCCGGCTCGTCGCCAGCCTTGTTTGTGGGGACGACTGCCTTCGAGCTTATCGTGAAGCAACAAATCAAGAGATTGGAAGATCCTAGCTTGAAGTGTGTTAGCTTGGTATATGATGAATTGGTCCGAATCTTGACGCAGTTACTCCAAAAGCAGGTTAGTGCTCTACTATGCACTCTAGACACCGTTCCGTATGATGCTTTATTTTCTGATTTTTATTTTTTTTCCACCAGCTCTTCAGACGTTATCCCAGTCTTAAGGAGAAGTTTCATCAAGTTGTTATTGCATTCTTCAAGAAAGCGATGTCTCCGACAAACAAGTTGGTGACTGACTTGGTCGCTATGGAGGCTTGTTATGTCAATACCGGACATCCGGATTTCCTCAACGGCCATAGGGTAATTACTGAATCCTCATCCGGTGTTTGCTCTGCGTTTTTGGGCTGACCGGATGTCATATTACAGGCGATGGCTATTGTGCACGACAGGCATAATGCTTCCAAGCCCGTCCAAGTCGATCCCAAGACCGGAAAACCACTCCCTGGCGGAAGAGATTCCCCCAACCCCCAGTCCTTGGAGTCTACACCTGAGGGATTTTTCCAAAGCTTTTTCGCTAGCAAGAACAAGAAGAAGATGGCAGCCATGGAGCCTCCTCCAGCCACCTTGAAGGCATCCGGCACGCTATCTGAGAGAGAAACAATTGAGGTTGAGGTTATTAGTGAGTTTATGTATACTCAGCTTTCAGAATGATTTGCTGACCATAGTTTAGAACTGCTGATTAGTTCCTATTACAACATCGTGAGGAGAACTATGATCGACATGGTTCCGAAGGCCATCATGCTCAACCTTGTCCAGTAAGTTTCCGGTACTTCTACTTCGAAAGCCGTCGGGATCCGTGTTTATTTATGCTGATCGCACACCATTCACAGGTTGACAAAGGAAGAAATGCAACGCGAGCTTCTTGAGAACCTCTACAAGTCTGATGAGCTCGAAGCTCTCCTCAAAGAGAGTGATTATACTATCCGGCGAAGAAAGGAGTGCCAACAGATGGTCGAATCCCTTTCGAGAGCTTCGGAAATTGTAAACACTGTTGGTTAACTGCCCCTATGAGGCTATGGGTCTGCATCTTGTTTTCGGATAGACTGTTGGGACTGCTTTTTCGTGTGTGAATGAGAAAGGGCGCGCATTGCCAATGACGGTCGGGCGGATAAATTAAAGAAATGGGAGTTGGGGGAGATTTTCAGAATTTCGCGGAATATTGTAGACTTTTGTGGTTTCACTATTTCGCACTCTTTTTCACTCTAATTCCTAGGGATATTTCCCGGGTTCGCGGAAAATGATAACGTTTTATGATACCTCAAGCTCCTTTCCCTTAAATGTTTTATTTATTCCTATTGTGCTTGGAGCCCGCTTGCGGTAATACTCTAATTCTTAGCTAGCCTCATGAAACCCTGGAGGTTAGAGGATATTCGGCTCCAAGTCCAAGGTTACGTGCAAATTTTAAATGCGGATACTTATAATACTTGTATCACACCGTAAAGCCTGAACAATGGACTTTCCGTCATATGGCACTCTAGCACTATACAGTACGGTATGATACTAGAGACTTTGCGGTGGATGTATCCAGAATCCCTGTATGCCAAGAATTTCGCTTTTGGAGCTGGATGTATGATAGACTTTGCGGTGGATGGAACTAAAGGACCTATGATGTCAGACCAAGAAATCAAGTTAATGACTGTTAGAACTAGAGAACAGAGACTGAATTCAAACAACAACACCGTTCATGATGAATCTGGATCACCTTCTCCAGTCCTCTATTTCAAATACCTCCCTCCAAACCCAATCCTCCTCATATAATCCAAATAGCGGCTACAGTGGAGACAGTAATGACTCCCAACACCAACACGGTACTGAGAGACTTACCCCTCCACGAGACAACCGAAGGCGAGGTGCTGCATGGCAGCCATGGGAAGACCGGGCTCTGACTCGACAAGTTCAAACCGATGATCCTATCTTGGGTCAGTTAGGAAGAAAAGAAGACCGCTGGAGTGAGGTTGCGACAAGTCTTACTAATTATGGAATGAGTCGATCGTGGTCTTCCTGTAAGGATCGTATGGAAAAGTTAGTTCAGTGGCATAAGGTTAGTTAAGTATATATAAAGAAATAACCTTAAGTCAGAAACAAAATTAACTTAACTGTAGGAAGCTGAAACGCGTTCCAAACAAAAAACAGGAACCGATGAGGAAGTTACCGACCATATTGAATGACTCGATGATATTACACTCAGATATGAGTCATTATCAAAAAATACCGATATTAAGGAGCTTGCGAAGAAGAAACTGGAGAAGAAGAGAGAAGATGGTAAAAAGTTGCGAGAGTGTTCGTTGGAAGGCCTTATTCGAAAACGGTCCTTACAGTCCCGAGAAGTCTCCTCAACTCAACCCCAAAAACGAACCAAGCAAGCAAAAAACCTTTTTGCAAAGGAGGTTGCTGGTGTTGTTGATGGCCTTCATGAGAAGGCTAGTGAATTGAAAAAGAAGATTGAGCAGAAAGAGGAGCAAGAGCGTGAGAGTACAGCAGAGCAGCGTGAGTTGGGTAAAAAAATGGATTTATTGATTAAGAGCAATCAGCAAACAAATGAGGCTATTCAAATGCTTTTACAAACTCTTGTATCACGAAATTGAAACATTATTAATACTTATCAATAACTTGTATCATTATTTAACTTTGTATCTTTTTTTCTTCTCTAACAAATTACTTTCTTCTCTATAATCTGAAATTTCCTACTCCAAATAAGAGGTAAAGGACACGCTTAAAAACCGGCCCCCCTAGACAAATAAAAAAGAAAAAAACCCCAGACCTTATCTCGAGAGGCAACTCCAACGTCCTAGTACAAAGCTTGTTTATTTGAGTTCTTATAGTAGTCTCTCTGTTTGGAAGGTAGGACTAAACTGACCATTAGGGGTAGATCCGGGTCTTATTTTTCAAGTTTATAAATGGAGTAGAATGGATGGAGGTGGGGTCAGATGTTCTACTGGACCAGGTAGGGCCTAGTAGGTAGTGTTCCCAACCATCCCGGGTACTCTGCAGGGCTCTGGCGGGCTTCTGGTCCTTGGTGTCCCAGGCGTGGTGGGTAAAGACAGTAGAGCATAGCATTTATCTTTGATAAAGACTGCCATCTGAGACCAAGAGGTTGATGCCTAGGTCCGGGAGTCTTAATACAAATGGTATCTTCCAGCCATCATCTGTAGGGCTCAGTCGTTATTCGCAGGGCCCTCTTGTCACCTGCAGGGGCTAGCTATCATTTGCAAGGCCTGGCTGTCATCTGTAGGGTCCAGCTCTCATCCGCAGGTCTATTTGCAGGTGAGACACCTATAGGGCCTGGCCGGCTGTCCCAGACAGCTATCCTGGCTGGGTGGAGATTAAGATGAACGACAGGAAGGGCATCTGCCCAGAGCAGAGTTCCAGGAACCAGCATCCATCCTGCGCGAAGCTAAGGGCGGACAGACTGGACGCTTGGAAACACTTTCTGTAAAGCTTTGCTGTTAGATTTCTTCTTGTTTCAATTTTAACAATCAGTAGTAGTATTGAAATAAACAAGTAGCTTACCTACCCCCAGCTGTCCTGACCTATTCTTAGTCATCCTGACCCACCCCTGACTGTCATCAACTATTCCTGACTATTATTAGCTATTCTCAGGTGTCCTTGGTGGTGGTCTTACTCAGAGTTCTCAGTTGTCCAAGGCCCCCGCAGGGCCCAGTAGGGGGACCGCTAAGACCCCCAAATGAGATCGGACAGTAAAATGTAGTCCATCCTCATCTTTGAAATCCTAGGACTGCCGTCATTAACAAGGACAATGAGCCCCACAATCTAAGACAACTTCTGGTAGGAAATAGCAGGTAACTACATAGGACTATCAGGCAGAGTAGTGGTTAGTGGAGGAAGGTAGGAGAAGGCCAGGAATGGTGGGGGGGGATGGCAGGAGACGGTAGGGGATGGCAGGAGACTATGGGGGACTGTGGGAGATTGTAGGAAACTGTGAGGGACTGTGGGAGACTGTGGGGGACTGTGGGAGACTGCGGAGGACTGTGGGGGACTGTGGGGGACTGCGGTGGACTGTGGAAATGGCGGGGAACTGTGTGTGGACACCCCGGGAATGGCGGGGAATGGCGGCGGACTGTGGTGAACTGCAGCGGACTGCCGGTAAATACTCAGGGGACTGTGGGAAACTGCAGTGGACTGCGGGAAACTGCGGCGGACTGCTATGAACTGTGAGTAGACACTCGAGGGACTGCCGCAGACTGCAGGTAGATACCTCGGGGACTGCTAGGAAATTATGGGAAACTGTTGAGGATAATTAGAAACAATAAAGTATACTAAAAACAATACCAGAAAGAGTTCATACTTGGTTGCTAACTCAGACTAGGTATTTTAGTTCATAGAATTTAAGAGAGTATAACAACTGTCCCCGGTAGTCGATTCAGTCCTACTAGTCCTTAGTATAGTTTGTTTTAGCATTTCCAAAAAGATAGACTCGGACTACTAACAATCCTCTTAATAGTGAAAGTATTCTTCTAATGTTGGAGGTCTGGAAAGTTCAGGTATATCAACCTGAGCAGAGAGATCAAGTGCATGTTCTTGATCAAAATACTGTGGGATTTGAGGGTGGTGTAGGCAGACATGAGCGTTATATAATAGAACTGCGACAGGATATTGTATGCCAATAGGAGAAAGCAAAGACCGCTGGGTACGTGTGAAATCCAAAGCAGAAAAAAGTTGAAGTACTTCTTTAAAGCACCATTCAACTACAATTCTCACTTGTGACATTGCTTTATTCCACTGTCGTTGTTCCTGTGTAACCACAGCACCACTAAATGGTGATATCAGATGGTCACTAATTCCATAGGCTTGATCACCATATATCTGCAATGCAGAGCCGTTCGGAGCATAAGCATAGGTATCCAAAATTTCTGACATTCCACTTTCCATCCAAACTGCAGCATCATGTATCCGACCCTCAACCGGTCCATATAAATGTGTAATAATTCCATCTGGTGCAATAACTGCTTGGTATTTGAAGCAGTGAAATCGCTTCCATCCATTATATACTGACTCTTGCCCATAACTAGGACGCGCGATAGGTCTTAAAGTCCCATCGATGAAACCCCAGCAGCTTTCCAAAGGAGCATTTTTTTCCCTAATAGCAATACTATATGTAGCTAGGCGTTCTGGAGTAAGACGCTCACTATCAAAAACAAGAAGATAGTGCCAGCGGTCATAAATAAACTTTAAAAGAGTATTGGTAATTCGTGATACTCGCTCTGGCTTCCAGCCAAATTGCAGGTGCATGTCGGATAATCTGTGCGGCCATGCCAGTCGTGCCAGTAGCATACAAAGTGCTACTCCATCAGGTTCGAAAATCTTATTATCGGCCGAAACCTTTTCTGGTACTTCGAGACACCAAACTAATCTCTCTATCTCATGCTTGGAAAACCTTTTTAAGTTACTAACTGTTTGCCATATAATATCTTGAGAATGTTATTATTATTCTATATACTATACCTAAAGTAAGTCTTCCATGCCTCAGGCTCTAAGGCCTCTAAATCAATTGCTCCACCCTCGCGCTCCTGACCTCGCCAACGTACATTTGTCCGAACCGACGCATGCTGATAGATTTCCAGCTCGGCAAGACCCATTTCAAATTCAAATAAAGAAAAACTGAAGTCACTCATTCTGCTGCTTCGTGGGTCTCAGGAACAATAAATCTGATTTGAAACAAAGTGGTATTGGAGAAGCAAAGAAATTTCATAGTCCTAGAGGTCAAATTTGTTGTATTTGCTCCTGCCTCGGAGTCAAATCAAGATCTGGATGTTGCTAATCTTGGCGTATGCAAGCCAAGACCCTAAAAATGACTCTGGATACATGCAACGCAAAGTCTCTACTACTCGAGTAGATGCTTGTAGTGTGAGCCCAGCAGGTTCTTGAATAATGTACTCGTATTAGTCCTAGCCCTAATCCATTGCGGTCCGAAGATAGAAAGATGAGGTGAGCTTATCGAGTTAATCTTATCACATGTCGCTGGCAACTTATGAGAGGAAAAAGCTTAAGTTAGCCCGTAACTTACCCTCCCGTTACACCGATAATGACAGCGGCGCATCATTATCTTGCCCCGCGTATGTTACCTCCTCCTTTGCGTCGCCTTGGTTGTGCGCCTCTGAATACCTCAGCACAAAACAGAGAACTAATACCTGAAAGTGAATTGACAACGATTTCCGATAGTTTGTCTAAAATGGGGCATCTCGCAGTTCTAGCTACTTGGTTTGAACCCCTCTCGCCAGCACCGCGGACCGTCCTGAGCGCTAACTATTTTCGATAGCTCGCTGAACCAATGGGCGCTCGACTTCGAGGGTAACGCCGAACGGATCATTGAAAGCATCCGTATCGCGAGGGAGGCAGGAGCGTCTTTGAGGGTCGGGCCGGAACTTGAGATAACGTAGGCTCGAGCTCCTCTTGCGAGCGTTGAATTGCAGTCTGATTCCTGTTGATGTTGGCGGTGACAGTGGATATGGCTGTCTCGATCACTTCCTAGAAGGTAATGACCGTCCGATCCCTCCCAATCCTCAAGTAGACAGGATCATAACCCGGAGTACTATTGACAGGTGACACATACCTCCACTCCTGGGAAATGCTCGCAAGGATCATCACACACGACGACTGCCAGGACATCCTCCTCGACATCGGAATGCCGATCGGCCACAAGAACGTCCGCTATAATTGCCGTGTCATCGTCCACAACAAGAGGATCTTGCTCATCCGTCCAAAGATATATCTTGCTAATGATGGGAATTACCGCGAGATGAGGTACTTTACCGGATGGGGGAGGACAAAGTATGTTGAGGAGTATTACTTGCCCAGGATCATCATGACCATTACGGGCCAAAGGAAGGTGCCGTTTGGTGACGCGGCAATATCTACGTTGGACACGTGTATTGCGCCGGAGACTTGCGAGGAGCTATTTACTCCAAATAGGTTGGCTCCTTTGATTCCGGGTGGAAGAGAAGGCATGGAAGGCAGGGAAGGGAGTTGCTAATGGATGAATAGTCCGCATATCGGGATGTCGCTAGATGGAATTGAGATTATGACGAATTCTAGCGGGAGCCACCATGAGCTGCGGAAGCTGCAGACCAGGATAGAGCTCATGACTGAGGCAACCAAGAAAGTATGTGCCGTCGCTCCCCCTGAGGGCTCGATATGCCTCACATTCTGACTTGTGGCAGTGCGGCGGTATATACCTGTACGCAAATCAACAAGGATGTGACGGAGACAGGCTTTACTACGATGGCAGCGCCATGATTGGGATCAACGGCAAAATTGTTGCCCAAGGCACGCAATTCTCTCTTAAGGATGTCGTGAGCAGACCAAACTGACTGCCGTACCATGTGAGGGGTCTAACGGAGTAAATAACTAGGAGGTTATCACGGCAACCGTAGACCTCGAAGAAGTCCGCAGTTTCCGCTTCGCGCCATCCAGAGGTGTACAGGCCGTTCAAAACACTCCCTACCAACGTATCGAAGCAGACATCAATATCTCCTCTCCAAGCGACAAAGAAAACATTTCTTTAAAACCCACACCGACTATCGACGTTCGATACCACTCTCCTGAGGAGGAGATTGCTCTTGGTCCCGCTTGTTGGCTTTGGGACTACCTGCGTAGATGCGGTGGTGCCTCCGGATACTTTCTGCCGTTGAGTGGTGGCATCGACAGTTGCGCTACTGCCACCATTGTTCATTCAATGTGCAGACTTGTGCTTGAAGCCTGTGAGAATGGTGGTGTGTTTTTCTCTCCGATGTTGGGAGTATTTCGGGCTAATATAAGTTATCATCGTTAGAGGAGCAAGTAATCAAAGATGCTCGAAGGGTGTGCGGAGAATCGGAGGAGTCTACCTGGGTTCCAAGGGCACCTCAGGAACTCGCCGGGAGGATATTCCATACATGCTTCATGGGAACCAAGAATTCTAGTGTAGACACTCAGGCACGGGCCAAGGAGCTAGCGGATGCCATTGGGGCATACCACATTGATCTGAATATGGACTCCTTGGTAAGGGCGGTTACTGATCTGTTTAGCTTTGTTACCGGAATGAGGCCTCAGTTCAGGGTTCACGGTGGCACAAAGACGGAGAATCTAGCTCTACAGAATATTCAGGTTTGCCCCTCAGGCTGTAATACATGAGATTTGAGGCGAGTGATTCCTGATGAGTAATAGGCACGGTTGAGAATGGTCTTGGCATACCTGTTCGCTCAATTGCTTCCCTGGTGCCGCGGGAAACAAGGCAGTTTATTGGTCCTTGGAAGCGCGAATGTCGATGAATGGTACCTCCCATAAAATGATCCCGAACGCGAATATTAACTAACGCGGCCACTTCATAGTCTCCGTGGCTACATGACTAAATACGACTGCTCAAGCGCAGACATTAACCCCATCGGCGGCATATCCAAGACCGATCTAAAACGCTTCATATCCTATGCCACAACCAAGTTCGATCTACCAATTCTACATTCCTTCCTCGCCGCGATCCCAACAGCTGAATTGGAACCCATAACAAGTGCATACGTGCAGTCCGACGAGGCAGACATGGGCTTTACATACGATGAACTCTCCATCTTTGGACAATTGCGCAAGAACCACAAACTTGGGCCCTGGAGTGCGTTCAATAAGCTCCTACACGAATGGGGAGACAGGATGAGCCCTCGAGCTATCGCTACCAAGACTCGGAATTTCTTTTACTATTATGCGATCAATAGACATAAGATGACAGTCCTGACGCCTGCATACCATGCCGAGCAGTATAGTCCTGATGATAACAGATTTGATCTCAGACCTTTTTTGTACCCGTCTTTCTCATGGCCGTTCGGGAAGATTGAGGAGGCGGTCGCTGCTATCAATGCTAGGGAGAAGGTGGATTAGAGGGTGGAGTGGGGGGGGGCAGGGGCCCCGAGGTTGCGCGATATACTGAGGGCGAAAAACTGGTGCATGTTACTTGTGGCTGCCTGGTTTCCCCGCCGGATACCGCTCGGGACATCGTCACCACAGCTTCGAGCCCTCTGCGTGTAGTATAGATCCCAACCATAAACTATCAAGCCGAGCCTTTTAAACATTGTTGACCCCATCTACAGCCTCTCCAAATCCCCAGACCTCCCATCCCATCCACGGAACCGGGTGACACTAAAGTATTCGCACACCACAAAAACGCTCACCACCCTTCCCACCCCACACATATACCAAACCCCGACACCGCCACCACTCATCCGTGAACCACCCCCCAACCTATCCAAAATCACACCATAACATACCCACCCGTGCTCACCCAATCAATAACCTTGGCAATCAAAGTTAAGGTCCAATACCCCAATAATATGCATCATACGGGTGCTGATATGCGAAAATTGGGTCAGACACCTTAAACCCGGTTTTGTGTAATTTCAGTTTTAAGTTTGCATAGCAACTAAGGAAAAGGTTGGAAAACATAAAAATATTGAATGCTCTTACATGTAATCAGTATTACAAAATTCTTTATAGCACTCAATTCCACTACTAAAAATTGGTTGTAAATATTTTTCTGATTGCTGAAAACTCAGGCTACATATCTATGTAAAAAAGATAAAAGTGTGAAATCTGAAAAAATCTAATTCTGAGTCTATAAATGCATGAATTTTCTTGAAAAATATTTTTTAAGATCATTAGAAGGGGCTCTCTAAGCTCAAGAAGTATTGTATGTGTTGAGACAGGTTTGTTGCATTGGGAGAGTGGACCAATTTTCGCATATCAGCACCCATACTATACCTCACAGGCAGCCCCATATATCTCCACACTTGGAGCAGTACTATACAAACGCTCCCCCCCCTTCCCCTCTACAGCGATTCTTCCTTTCCTTATTTCTTCAACGTACCGTACACTATCCTCTCTCCCCCCCCCGCGCAAAAAAAAAAGGAGAAAAAAACATTGCAAGAGCGTCGCAGTTACGCATCCAATAGACTACCGTATCCAAACCATGTTATGATATAATCCCTAAAGAAACTCTAGAAGAAAAAAAGAAAAAAACATCCCATCTTCCCCCAACCGCCCCCACTCACCCGCTCAACACAATTGGGCTTTCGTGTTGTACGGTATTCCCAGCGAGTGATAACCCATGACCGCCTTTTCGTATCCAGTTTCCCTGTAGTACGGTATGATATCGGTACCGTATGGTGCGGTTATGATGCCTGGCTTCGGGGGTTGGTTGGTGTATGGGTACAGGGCTGACCGAGCAAAGGCGGTAGTATCACACCGGTATGCGAACGCGCTATCGTACGTAGACTACGGCTCGAGACCTCGAGCGTCGATGATGGGTGCCCAAGGACTTGGGGCATAAGTTGTCATTGTTCATTCAGGTGTTTTTCCCCCGTAAAAGGGTCTTTCCGCCCAGGCGATCGGGAACTGAAAAAAAAAAGAAAGAAAGAAAGAAGGAGAGAGAAGGAGAGAAGGGTATATAATAGTCTATCCAAAAGTCACCCTTTTTATCTCAGGATTTGTACCCAACTTATTAGGTAGCGAAGCTATGAAAGTATTTATTAAGAAACTAGCTCATAGGCCCCTAGCACAACCACAAAAAAAAAAAAGCCAAAACGTGTACTGTACCTAGGGGAATAGTTTCTAGAAAACATCATAGTAAAGAGTAATGCCGACTGTTCGGGTATCACTCCGGGATTTCCAGGCGTCCAACGATGCTATTGAAGTCATTTCGCCCCATTATCCCCTGAAAGCCAGCTTTCTGCTTGTTAGCACTCGCCCGAACCTCTCGGATCTGGCAGGCTAACCGAGCACATGCGATACCCAACACCCTGTGAAGCAATAATATCAGACTTGCAGCAGGGCCATTACTTCCTCTCTGCCAGCTTGCTCTCAACTACCCGCTCCACGATCCTCTCCAACAAGCCACCCCTTCCTTCTCCATCATCCCCAGCACCCAAGTACGCGGTAACCTGCTTCTACAACCCCAGATACCCCGCATCAGCCAACATCCATCCACTCCTATAAGAAAGCGGGCGCAAACCTCAATATACTTCCCCGTAATGTCAACCTCAACATTAACCTCTTGGCCAACCTGCTTCCTAGCAGTGATAATCTTCTCCTGAGTATACTCAACCAACATAACCTCCCACCACCCCTGGTCCTCCCCATCCCCGCCTCCACCAACAGCAATAACAGTCAAGCTCGCCCCATCAACCGCAACATACCCCTTCTCAACAACATACTTCATAACCCCACTATCCCTAGGTTTAAACCTAAGCACAACCGAGCTTCCATCGGACCTTCTATCAACGATGCTTGCGATGGTGTCAACATGTCCCTGAACGAAATGCCCGCCGAAACGTACGTCGCCGCTGACAGCGCGTTCGAGGTTGACTTGCACCGGGCTAGAAGAAGAGGGGAGGAGGGATTGGGGGAATGTTGTACGTCGGAGAGTTTCCGGGGAGAGGTCAACCGTGAAGGTATCCTTGGTAAAGGAGGTTATTGTTAAACAGGTGCCATCTACGCTTATACTGTCGCCGAGATGAGCGTCCGTCAGGATTGTAGTCGCACCAGCGATTGTTAAGGTTGTGGTTTGGGTTGTTTCAGAATGTGTTATAGAAGAGATTGCTAGTCAATAGGGAAAGGGGAACGAATATTAGCTGTTTGGTTCAGTTGTAGAGGGAGGAATCAGGCCCTACTCCCAATTGCTTCGACGATTCCGGTAAACATCCTGGATCTCTTTTGTGGGACTGGCTGCACTGCTCTTTCTCTCCCTATATATTGCCCCTACTCGTTTCGGCCCTTTGCAGTCAAGGTGGAATAAGATTATGGAGAAAACAGTGGTGGGGTAGCGTTGATGGTGGAGGTGGATGGATGGAGGACAAAAAGCAGAGCCTCGGAAGATGATACCAATGGCTAGACTGCGGCTCAAGATTACGCGGTTCCCACCGGTCTCGCGCCAACTACTCCGAAGTTCAAAGTGCGATTGTATATACCGCACTTCATGAATAGAAAATTGCAAACAACTATACTGTACGGTAATAGCAACAAATAATATCTATGTCAGCCCATCAATGCGAGCACTAATCACTCCAACCAGAGTTTAAAAACACAATATCCACCACTTCACCCACCTTCCAATCCAGCCCATGCACACCACGTCCCATCGTCAAAGCTTATACAATTGAAGGTCAGAAAAACTCCGTCTGTGCAAACCACCAAAGCCCAATCCTCACCAACACAGCCACTAAACCCGAAAGCACCTCCAACTATACCACGAAAAAAGAAAGAAAGAAAGAAAAAAATGAGAAAAAACTCCAGTCCCTGTAAATACGGCGCTATCGACTCGTGCATGCCACAAAAGAAAAACATGAGTATTGTAAGAGACTAATACTAGGCCAGGCTGACTATGCAAGATAATAACCCCATGCAACGAATCCGCCTTTGTTCATTTTGCTTCTAGCCATTGACTTGCATTAGGGTACGAGTTGTTCAATTATCGACCAAATGAGTCTACGACTCCTTTCATTTTGCCCTTCAGTTGAGGTTGAGGAGCTTTTGACCATCTATACCCAAATTATATTAGCCAGCCAATAGATAAAGAGAGCAGCGGGGGGTGATAAATCATTACATTCGCACGTTTCTGTCGTCCCCAGCTGAAGCAAACATGTAAGGATTTGTAGGGTTCCAAGCCACACAATTCACAATCCCGGAATGACCTGGCAAGACTTCTACCAGCGCTCCGTTTTCTTTGCGCCAGACGTAGACGTTTGAGTCTATAGGCCTGGTGTTACTATCCAAACCTCAATGATCCAATAGATGAAAACAAACCTTCGCTACCGGAGACAACAAAGTTCTCATCGGCGCCCCCGAAACAATTCCTCACAACAAATTCTTCCTGTTTTGTTCCCGAAAAGTGCCTGACATCTGCACCCGTCTCGATGTTCAAGAGCCGGAGCTCTTGAACCCCGGCGCCCATGTTGAGAAGTATGTATCTCGAATCCTTGCTCACAGAGATGCATGTGGAAACGCCACCTAGATCACGCTCATACTCTTTCTCTCGGGTAACAAAGTTGTAAACATGTAACTTCATTTGGGTGCATACCGCAGCTAATCGTGTCCCATCCGCCGTAACCACCAAGTCGTATACCCTTGCGCCGGTCCACCTGTGGATACTCTCTCCGTAGAGATTCCAAAGAATCATCTCTCTATCCACACTTCCGGTCACGAAGGTCTGTCCATCCGGAGCCCATGCGCACGAACTAACCCAATCAGTATGGGCACCCATCGTTTTTATGCATCCGCCCGCCTAAAACATTAAATCCAGTTAGGTTAAAGATATCACACCCAATAGGCCAAAAATTAAGCATACCGTTGTATCCCACAGCTTTGCCTGTTTATCCTGAGAGCAACTTAGCAGCTTCGAGTCGTCAGGCGACCACCGAAGATAAGTTATCGCACCCGTGTGCTCTTTCAGGTGATGTATCGGTTGAAAATCCTTCGAGCTATTCAGCAACAAGACCCTACGCAACAACCAGGGAAATCACCTCCAGGTCCCATATTATAACAGTGTAATCTTTGCTCCCGGTGGCCAACCGTGTTCCGTCGTTCGAAAACTGCACAAACCAGACCTCGTCTTTGTGGTCGGTCAAAATCTCTACCGTCGACAGCGGAAACTGATTCCTGTCGCAATGATGATCTGTATACAGTGAAGGCGAATTCGCAGTATTATGATAAAGGCACTTGGATAATTGGTTTTGCTTAACCTGGTGTAATAGTGAAGCGAGTCGGTGTTCGGGGATCATCACCGAGGCCGAAATGGACTCTATAGCACAAAACACATCAGAATCCGTAAGCACAAGAGGGCAATTAGAACTTGAATTACTCGAAAGCTCCGACAACAGCTGTTGGCGAGACAACCCGGCCGCACCGTCCCACTCAGCTCGTGCTTTAAGATCGTCGGCAGATATACACATCATCAAGCTATCCCAGTTTGCAAACTTCATTAGTCACAATGGCAAGCGTTTCAAGGACGAATAACGGGAAAAATACCTCGATAGAGAGTGCAGCTTTTCCACGCTCTGATTGAGGGGAGTTAGTTCCGTTCTGAGAACATGCAAAGCTTTCGAAACGTCTGCGACTTCCAGAAGCTCAAGAAACTTCTGCTGTCTCATATAAAACAACAAGGCCTACTCAATTTCTCGCTTAGCATTTGAACCCAAATCCGAATCCAATAAAACTCCCCCCCCCCTCCGCGCCCCGCCCCGCTGCCGTCAGGATGTCGAGGAGAATCTCACATTAACGTCCGCATCTTTATTAATTTCTAGCCCAAATAGCAGCTCCTCAGCCTTATTCCATTGGCCCTGTAGCACGGCATCCCTAAATTCTGATACCTCCGGCGATTCCAAAGTGTACTCACTCTCCTCCTCCAACACACCAGCTGCCCTGTGATACCCCAGGTCCACCAACGACTGGATCACGATTCTAGTGATCTCCTCCCGATCATGCCCAAAATAGCTCGGCTTAGGTGTGGGTGGGGCGAGCATCGTAAAAGACGAGGCCGTTGAGCCACCCTCCAGCTTTCCAGAGCCATTACGAATACCAGCACCGTTACCGTTTGTTTCCACAGCGGCCGACGAGGCTCCGTTAGCTCCCGAACGTCCACTATCCGCCACCGAAGCCTGAGAGTTCAACCCATTGTTTTCGATTCTCATATTACCGGTGACGTTGCTACTGGCGCCGCTAGCGGATTGGGGGTGTAGGTACGAGGTAGCGGAAGTCTCGCTACTAGGGCTGTACGCGGAGGTCCGTCTACGCTTTCTCGCCGGACTTTCCAGACTCCCTGATGGCTGGGCAGGGGTAACGGAAGATGTTGCTAGCTGAACTTGTGCTCCAGGAACCACAGATGCCGAACCTAGGCTGCTCGTTGTCTCCTGTTGCGTTGAAATCGGAGGCTCGCCTTCACTTTCGTCGGAGGATGAAAGAGCTCCGTAACTTCTTCTTGTTGCCAGGACGACGATGATTCAAGTTGGTCTGGCGGATAGTCGAATACTGCTGAACTTCACACCTCAAGAACGAAGTCTGGAGATGAGAGGATACAGTAGATAACGACCGCTAAACCGGTATAAGGGGAAAAAGAAAAAAGAAAGGATGCCAACGGCAGAAAAAGGGGAAATAAAGAGGAGAAGAGAGCAAAGTGACCGGTTAAATAGCACTGTGAGCGTTTGCAAAGAGGCTCTCGTCTCGTTTCGTTTCGTGCAGGCACGATGCAGGAGTCGTAAATACTATCCCACCAGGGCACGGGACGGAGTGGCTGCAGTGTCAGAGGGGAACCGGAAACCCAAACCAAGGCGGTTCAAAGGGCCAGAGGGGAGATGGTCGTGACCTCGCACAAGTGGTGTTTACAAGGAGGGGGCAGAAAAGAGATGGTGTATGTTGTGTGGCGGAGGGGGCGGAGGAGGTTTAAAATCCGCAAAGAATAACGCGTTATGTCGATCAAATTATCCAGACGACGAAACCGCGGGGCATGGAAGCGATTCCGTAAAGTTGGCGAGCAGGAAATATGATATGAGGGAGAACCAGAGCGGGGTGTTGGCAGAGCTGTGGAGTTCCCCCAAACGATCCAGCGCACACTATCGACGTGTAGGGTGTACCTGCAAGGTGCTTGAACCGAGACGAGCCCGGGAGCCAGGGGGAGGCGAGCGTTTCCGACGGAGTGAAGAAAAGCGGAAGGCTATCAAGCAAACAAACGGAGACAAGATCCTGGATGCTGCAGACGAGTGGAAAGGCAAGGTCAAGAGTTGGTGAGTGTATAGCGAACCAAGGGGTGTGGGTGGTGGTGGAGTGCGTTTGAGCAGCAGAAGGGGACGGCAGATGCGAGGGTAATCGAAGATAATGCAACTTTGGCACCGGAGTGGACAGGAGGACGTGGAGGGGTGATCAGGCAGAGTACAGGTGAATTCGAACGGTGAGAGGGAAGAGGGAGGAAGAGGGGGAGGAGAAGGGGGAGGAAGGGAAGGGAGGGAGATCGGTTCAGCGAGAAATGGGCAAAGGTGAAAAGGTAGACAGCAGAGGAAGGCTTGGGTACAGTACAGCACAATGGAAGATCCTCGCAGCCAGCCGGACGCCGATAGTGTGATAGATTAGATCTCTTGTCTCCCTATGTGTTAAATGTATGATACTTGTGGTGATATCTGTGTCTGCGACCCAAAGGCAGTGGGTCAATAAAGGAAGGAAACAGCACAGACGGATGCCTAAAGAGAGTGACAGATATGCAATTTATGTAGCGTACCGCACAAGCACAGCGGGCACGAGAAAACCCCCGAAAAGCCTGCCTTTTCCTGTACGATCGTATAATCACACAATACGGTATTTACGGCGACACAATGAACCTACAATACCCATTGCCCACCGCCCACCCCCATGAACAAGACTTATGACGAAAGGGATTCTCTCGGAGCTCTCGCGCGGGCCCCGGGCTCCTCCAAGATCGGATGGGGTTCAGCTACCGGTACCGCATGATACAAGTAGCGGTATCGGTGCTCGTACGAGTACAGCGCATCAGAATACACGGACTAACCCTCAACCCTGAGCCCTCCCTGCCCGCTCAATTCGAAACCCATATCTCAAAGGGAATCATGCCGTGGCCCGAGGCAATAAGAAAGTAAGGAAACGGGAAGGCGATCACTAGCAATCCTGAAAGATCATACCGGTTCACCCACATGACTACCAAAACATAACCCATCCTCCCCTCACACACCATCACTCGTCTCTGGTCCTCTGGACCTCCGGTACAGACGTAACTTATGGGGGGAAAAAGGTGGGTGGGCATTCGGTTGGGACAATAATTATATGATAGCTGCATGTGGAGCGCTCGAGTGTCCGTATTGGGACCGGCTGTAACGGTCAAATGCTCTAGGTGCTTGGCGGCGGATAGGTTATACGGGTTAGGAAGCTGCGCGTCACATGATACAAGAACGATGCCCTGGATAACTTGATGGTAGTGGCGAGAGCCAACTTGAAGTCATGGTGCCCGTATAATGCGATGTCGGCACTCGTATGTACGAGTACTAGTACTAGTACTCTTGTAAAGGAGACTAGTACTAGTACTCTTGTAAAGGAGAAAAAAAGGCATTAGAGTTTAGTGGATTAAACACTCTTCGGTATTGGACCCAGAGCTTTCTTTGAAATTTCGCTATCGGAATACAATGGCTTGCTTTTGGCGAAGCACCCTTTTACTATTGCTTTCATGGGAAATCGCGTACCCTTTGACTCAGGCTTAAAGGACAGCAACGGTAGTTGTCAACTTTTTGGCTTGGATCCATCGATAACAAATGAATAAGGGTGGGGAAAAACAAAAACAAAACAAAAAAACACCCGGCTGGGAATAGTACCCCCCCCCCCCCAATACAAACACAAGTGCTTACACATAGCTCAGGACACCATCCGGCCACCACTTCCCAACGACGCCCAACGGAACCTCTCCCCCAATAACAGTAGGCCCTCTCACGACAATCTCCCCTCTGCTGCCACCTGCGTTGCTAGCCCTAAAGATTTCCCAATCCCTAGTAAAAACCTCACATCCTGGTGTGACACCACCGAAATGTGCGCATTTTCTTGGAATTTCCTTTTTCTTGCTTGGTTTCGGCGTCTGTGGCTGCACCCTGTAGTCGTAGACATGTTGTTGATTGATCGGCCCCGCGACCATGTGATGCTTCAGTCCGTAAACAACTTTGGATCCAAGGTACGCTCTCAAGTCGTTGAGGTCCTCAGAGTTAAGCGGGTGTGAACCGAGGTCGCCGGCCCTCTCTGCGCTGAAGACCAGACGGAGGCGGGACGGTTCGCCAACATTCGGACGGGTATAATCATTGAGGCGAATGAGGGCGTTTCCTTTTGGGATGCGGCCGGATTCAAGGGTACGGCATTGGAAGTAGTGCAGGATATTGTGCCAAATCTCCATTCGCGAACCTGCAGTAACAGCAGCGGTATGCGCAAGAGTGGGGGTGGAAGCAACAATGACTGTAGGACGGACGCGTTTGACGCAAAGCTCAAGGTCTGCATGAGTGCCCGCGATAGGATTCAGTGCGACTGTTGCGCCACTCGCGAGCGCTGCATAGGTAAAGATACGGGTATAAATATCCGATAGAGTGTCAACTGGGACAAAAATATCCTCTGGCTTGAATGTTTCTGGGCTAGGTCTGATAGAAGCGATTGTAGAAGCGACACCAGCGATGACTTGCTATAACCCCAATATTAGCATCCAATCACGACAACATGCCTGTACTGTGTAGCAAACTTTGTGGTTGAACTCGGCCATTTCGATTCTTCTCTCTTCGCCAATGTATTTTGGACCAAACACAATAACTGCAGGGCCATCCAGGTCCACGTTTCCAGCGCCGGTAACAGCTGCCTTGATCACATCATGATAAACAGAAGTCTTGACTCCTCCGTTTGGGCTAGTCCAATCGAGATGCTGGGATCCTGGCTCAACCACATAGATAATTTCCTTGATATTTTTGGCGCCATCGACGTCGTTGAGAGCAAGGTCACCAGCGGGTGCAATTAGTACGTCGGCCTTTGAACGTCTGAGAAGAGATGCAACATCCGGAGAACTCGTCGGGTCAAATGGAAGTACAATGAGGGTTAAATCGTAAAACGCGCAGGCTAAGCCGTCGTCAGAACTTCATTAGAAGCCCACGATAGAAGGGCTATTACCAAAAGATGCCACAAGATTCTCAATATCATTCGCAAGGTAGATTGCGATCCTCTTAGCGCCGGGAATGCTCTTGATGTAGGATCCCAAAGAGTGAATATTCTGGGTAAGCTGGTCTGCGCCCGAAACGATCTCAGGTCAGCCCCGCCCCAATTCAAGGAAACCTCGCCGGACCGGGAACCGACCGATATCAAACTCGTTAATCTCAGACCCTTTGACACTTAGAACTTTGCCTTTGCCCTCCTTGACAGCCTGGCTCCAAACATCCCTAATATCACCATCACGGGTTCGGTATTTCTGATCTGTAGGCAGTCCAAGCCCCGAAGCGAGGGGATGACCTGGTGGAGACAAAGTGGATCTGTGAACGGCGCTTTCTTTGGGATTGCGTACTCTGGCTTTGGATTAGCTGCTGTACCTTCACGCATTAAAGTTAGGGAAGGTGAGGGCGACGAACGGGGACACGTGGGATTGACGATTCAGGATCATGGGGTGTATGTCAGGGTCCTTCTGAAAGATGACGGGCAGGATCATCAAGCCCAATACCAGCGCAAGAAGGGTGTAGGTAACGACATTTAACTCCAGATCGTCAAACATGGTTGCTGTGCGGTGCTCCGGTGGGGGGTAAGGATTTGACAGGATAGATAAGAGGAAAGGTTGTCAACACGGAGATGCAGCTTGGGTGATTTGGACGATTAAAAGGGCATTATCGGGGAAATTGGGGTTGGTCCACCAGTGGTCGCTGAGGACATAGTATGATGCCGGTAGACTATGGGCACAACGGCGGAAAGATGTCCAGGTTTCAGAGCTGGTAACTCGGTGCACAAAAGCCACACATGTGCCAGGATTGGATGATTGCATCTGTGGCTTTAATACGTAATTTGGATCTTGCCTGTGGCAAGTGTTATCAGATCATCAATGTGATAAGACAAGCGCTTTCCGTTGATAAGATTCAATTTCTAGAAACGGTTTCAACCCGTTGCGTTAGCAACCGAAAGCCACCACTCTTCCCTCCTTTGATTTGGTTCCTGAGCCCTCAAACCCCCAAAACCAAACTTCACGTCCTCCCCTCACCCTATCTGTTCTCGAGCTATTTCTGTCAGCCGTTCCCCCCTATCCAACCGCCCCTCATCCCCATCCCATCGCTCCCCTCAGCTTCTCCCAACCTCCATCGCCTGCTCCATCCCCCTCGTCTTCGTTTTCCGCACCTGGTCACGAACACCATGAGCTCTGCACCAAGTACGCCAATGAAGGGCGCGCCCGCGACACCAGTGACCACTGGCTCATGGCGCCATCCAGCATTGGACGATATCGCAAAACGCACCGCTAATAAGCGTCCTGATATGTCGTTCAAACGACTTACCATGAACACATTGGCACTGGTCGCCAGTTTTGCCATGTTTACTCTCCTCCGCAAGAGGTAACCTCCTGTCCTATACCCCACCGCACCTATCACTGCGCGTTTGCTAACTCCGCCTTCTCTCTTATCAGTGAATTCCTGCTTAGTCTCGCCCCCTCGTCCCCCGCCTTCCACCAATACTTCTCCTACATCCTCTGGGTAACTCGCTGTGTTCTGGCCTTTAATATTGGGGAGTCCATCACTCGGCTCCTTGCCCCAGCCGATGAATTCACCGACATCTCGCTCACGCCGGAGCAACGTAAGCTTCTAGGACTCAATCCCAACGTCCCCTTATCAGCATCCGCGTCAACGGGGAACATCATTACCCCACCAAGGTACACCAAGTCCACTCCTTCCTCCCGAACTGGTTCTCCCTCATTCGGTGCGTCAACGTCCGGATCACCTACTCTGCAGAGGAAGTCTGCCCCACAGACTCCTCCCCCTATGACCCCTAGCCCGTTGCGTATGGGCGGGGGGTTGGAGAAGAGGCAGAGTAATGGAATTGGATCACCGAGCGCGGGACTGTTCAGTGGTGGGAGTCCTGGTGTCAAGCTTGCTGGAACGTCAGTTGTTCCCGGAAATAAATGGCTATACGAGAAGAATATTCAGCGCAAGAGTATGTTCCATATATCACCCTTGCCACTGACAATCTAGTTCTAACTTGCTTGAACAGATGAGGGTCTCCGCTTTTCGCCCAGCAAAAGCATCTTTTCAACCCCTCGAGCTTGATCCATCCCCATTTTTCCTCTGCTCTGAGTCTTAAACGTTTTCCTTCCTTCCTTTTTACCTTTTTTTTTTTGGCCCCTCCTATGTCTTGTATTCCTTGTATTATCTTTTTTTATTTTATTTATCAACGATCTAACGTCCGTGAAATGTCCCTATTTGGTCTGACAGCCGTTTTTTTTTTCAGTTTTTTCCGATGACAAGAGAGGAGGGAGCATGAGTCTTCGCGAAGGCTTGAGCCTGACAATTCCTGCAGGCTTGAACTGAATCATAGAGGGGGATTTCGTGCAATTGGTTTTCCCTATCTCCTTATCTTTCTTCCTAGGGTGTTTTTATGACTTGATGGAGGTGGCACGGCAGTGTGTATATGTACGTACTATACTTTGGCTAGCCGCGCTACTGCAACTGGAGAAAAGGTGGAGGAGGAAGCGTAGACCAGGGAAAGAAGGAAGGAAGGAAGGAAGGAAGGAAGGAAAAGTAGTACATAGGACCTGTATGTAGGATACTGTAGTTTAGTACTCTTTTTCGCCCTCTTGATAATAAAGGATAATTGATTGCTTTGCATCTACACTATTCTACTCATGATATTTATGGAATTTCATACAATCGACTAGTATCAATTTCCCCACGGTATAATGTTATAAAACAAAACTTCCCTCCCCTCCCTTCTTTTGTAAAGTGTAATATGATGTATAAGAAATCGTAATCTAGCAAAATATTACAAATGAATCCCCCTCCTCCCCTTCAAACTAGCACTGGCACTAGCTTGACGAAAAAAAAGCGTACAAGTAGCGTCCGTCGTCAATATACTAGGAAAGGGAACGACCGTGAGAAAAAAAACGTTCATTATCCATCCATCCATCCATCTATCGGTCGCATCCTTCTCCCCCTCCTAGTGACATTGTACCCGCCAAAGCCGTGCTCTGGTGATTGTGCACTGAGAAATATCGTCCACCCATTCCCGTCAGGCGACAAAAGAAACTTCCCACCCAGCCCAACCGGTTCCACACCACCACCACCGCCCAAGTCCTGTCCGTGCCCGTATCCATCTCCATGTCCACGGATATCAAAACGCTATTACGCCCTTCCCAACTCTCATCCGGCAAAAGAAATTCACCCATTCTCCCACCTCAATCTTTACATCCCTGCAAACACAGACACAACACTCAAGCGTTTTTACTCTCAACCCCCGGCGACCCTGACCGACTCCTCAAGTGTCCCACGTCATTTCCCGGGGCATAAAACCCCGTCGTCGCCGTTTCGTTCGGCAGCGGGGCAAGACTCTTCTCGACGCTAGTGATCAATGCCGTAGCGGTCTTTTTAAGGCTGAATTGGGTGGTGTTTATTACTGAGGACCAGAGGGGGTTGTTTGACACCGTTGAGCTGGGTTCACAGGTTAGCTTTGCACTGCATATACAGGACATGGGAGGGGAAGCACCTAGTCGAAGTCCGCGGCGTGCTGGAGCGCGAGGGGGGAGTTATGGTGCCGGTGGCTTCGGAGAGGACAGTGGAGGTTGTGCTCCAGCGAGGTGATTTGGGGTTTTCGTCAGTGGGTGAGAAATCTATTAGTTTTTCGGTTTCCCTTTCTTTGGTGGTTGAAGGGGCTTTGGAGTTCTCGCGGGACATCTTTTGGGGGGTTATGCTACGAAGGCTCGCCCTTGAGGATTTCTTATTCAGGGGCCTGGCGGTGGTGCTGGTGAGGTTGTTGGGGTCCTGGGGTGTGATTGTCGATGCGCGGATCCCGGTTTGGTTCACCGAGGAGTGAATGCCTTCATCGCCGACGGTAGCCTGGCGAAGATCCTCGATGAAGGTCCATAGACCCTCCTTGAAGTCTTCTGCCATCTGCTTGCCCGTCCTAAGTAGTGCTTCTTGACCCTTCTGTCCTGCAGACCGTGGGAAGTCGCTCATTGATAGGGGTCTAGGTGTGGCAGAAGCAGAGCTAGAGAGCGGCGTGGAGGTCTGAGCAAATGTCTGACTGCGCCTTACACCGGGTAGGTGATCCGACGTAGGACTACCGTCAGCAAGATCACTCGGTTGAGCAAACGGCTGCTTGTAAACATTCCTATCGGTCGAAAGCAGTGACAGAGTCCTCTGATGTCTCTGCGATGGCAACACCTTCCTAGCCCCCGCGCCATTTAGACTGTTCAGCGTGGCCTTCCGGGCGTTATACTGCTCCCTCGTTGGGGAGACTATCTTCTCCCGGTCATCGCATGTCACGCTGGTATCCAGTGGCCGAAGTCTTCCAATCGGAGGAGCTACGTCGTGGAACTTCCGCGTGGCCTCGTGTACCGCCCACTGCCTCTTCATCCTCCCCAGCTCGGTTTCAGCTTTCCCGAGCTCTTCTTTTAGTTCTAGTACCCGACGCTCCTGCGCCGCCAGGGCTGTCAGAAATGCCATGGGATCGTCGGGCGTTATGTCTTCGATCCCGGGAGTTGGGGCATGAAAGGTGTAACTTGGCGGCGAGTTTGTCACGGGTGATGCATTTCGCGGGGTCGAACTGGCCGGGAGGATTGGGAATGATAATGAGAGGCGTTTGCGTGTCGGGACCGATGTTGTGATGGATGATGAACGGGTGTGCTGAAGAGTTTCGGGGGAGGTCCTTGGAGAGTTTGATCGTTTGAGGGGAGATGGAGGTTTCCGTGGATCTTGTGAAGATGGGGGTGAGTGTGATGATGGTGTCTGATCCGTCGTAGTCTCTACTGCTTCCAAAGAGCACTCTGCAGATTCCAGACTATGGATCGAGGCGACACCTTCCATCGTAAAGGGAGAGTTGAAGTGCACCCCAGATTACCAAGAATCAAACAATCTCTCTCTCTCTCTCTCTCTCTTTCTCTCTCTCCCTTCCCTACTCGCAGAGTAAACCTCGTAAAACCAACTGGTCAAACTCCCAAACAAACAGACAGACACCGGACCACGCGTAGAACTGGTAAGGAACGAAAGAGCTAAAAAAATGAAAGAAATGAAAAAGAATGAAAAAGAAAAAAAAGAAGCGGTACAACAAAAACACTGCAGCAATCCGAGAGAAACCCGTACTGTACTGTACTCGTACAGTTACCGTAGTTTTTTCCAAGTCCCGTTAAGAAAACGAAAACAGAAAACAAAAACAAAAAAATTGTACCGTGAAAAGAAGATTAGGAGAGATCGATCGATCCATTCTCGAAAGGAAAAAAAAAAAACCGTCAGCCAAGTTTCGATTAGGGGGTTGTCCGGGATGGGGGTCGGGCGTTGTGCTTTCCATCCATCCCCTTCTTGGCACAGCTGTAGAGTACTCGTACAGTGATTATCTGCAGGGGTTTGGGAGTAAAAACCGTTCCGCGGGCTACGCTGCTACCGCTACTTATACAGTATGATACGAATAGCATGTCAACCATGCGAAACGCGCCGTTATGTTCCCCTGCTTTACTTTCGAGTATATAGGACTATTTTTACCGTACTCTTTGTTTTGTTTCGTTATTGCGATCCGAACTTACGGTACAATACAGCGTCTGTCTTTCTTGCCGCCGGGACGAACGGCCTTGGAACCTGCCGGGCGGGTATGGTACGGTACGGTAGGCTATCATACCGGTATTTGAATTGTTTGTTTGGGGGAGAGGAGATTGGGGGGGGGGGGCCTGCGCTGTAGGTGTGGTTTTGGTTCCCCGCACTGTTGGTGTGATGTCGAATAGTGCTGTGCTGTACTCGGGTACTGTACTGTACTGTACAGCCCTTGCCTGGTGGTGGCGATGGAAGGGGCGGATGGCGGTTGGGTACCGTGCTTGTACAGTACGAGTACCTCTAATGAGACCATCTCAGGCACAAAGTAGACTATAGCGCTACTGGTGCCCGGGTATTGCGGGCTTTTGCTGGTGCAAGTATCATACGCTACCGTTGGGTTTAACGCTTTGGTACTGTGCTGTGCTGTGCGAGCGCTTTTGGGAATGTCATAATCAATCACTCGAGCCCAAGTTCCTTAACAAAAATTTTCTGTCGTATAGTGCAATTAGAATATTATTGGGGGTTCATAGAGAATCGACATCGCAAAAAGATACCGATAATGCTAGCGCAGATTACAGTGCTAAATACAGTTCCACCACCCGCCGGGGTGCATTCCTCCCTTTTCTACTCCCTGGTTGGCTGCGGGTGCAGTATTCTATCCCCCGTGCATGGTGCTGTTCCCAGCTCTGCCACCGATAAATTCTCCGCCATGGGACCTACGGTAGGAACCACGTTAGCGCGAACTTTGGCCACTTTGGGAAAGACGGGGGTGCCTTACTTGAACCAATTGAGCATCTGGAAGGTACTGGCTTTGGGAGTGCGCTTGAGGGAAGCGTAGTCAAGGTGTTGGATGCCGAATCTGGTTCTTATACCGGATCCCCACTCAAAGTTGTCGTCTGACGATCGTTAGCTAACGTGTTGCGAGAGTTTACATATGATTCAGGGCTTACAGATGGACCATATAAACGCCCCGGTGACATTAATCTTGTCGTGGTGAATGGCCATCAGAATGTTGTCCATGAATCCTTGCAGGTAATCCGCTCTCCTCAAATCCCATAGGGTATCCTGAAGATTGGTGAAGGAGCTTTCGAAGGGCTCCGAGAAACCGAATTCGCTAACCATGATATCCTTGACGCTTGGGAAGAGCTCTTGAGTAATGGCCTTCAAGAACTTCCTGATTCCACCAGGCGTGCTCTTCAACCAACCTGCGCCCAGATCAGCGCCCGGTCCTATCCCAAATCCATTAGGGTCGCTGGAAGATGTTGCGGCGCATTCAGGATACCCAGGGTGAGAAGAGTTGCTTGTGCAGTCCTCCAGAGATCCCCCTTGAAGAGCGCCGGCATAGAACGAAGTGTAGGCGTCGATGGCGAAGAAATCACAGGAGCCCTTGATAATATCCTTCTCTTCCTGGGTGAATTTGGGGAGCAAATCTCCCAAGGTGTCCTTGAGTGTCCGGGGGTAGTCGCCGTCGGTCCATGGGCCACCGAACCATCCGAGAACGAAGTCGTATCTAGATTCGCTCTTTAGCTGGGGATTAGGAGGAAACTAGAGCTCGCCTCCAAGTACTCACGATCTCTGGACTGCTATCTTGTCGGCCTCGCTGGTGCTGTTCGCTTGAAAGTAATTCCCGCTGTTTTTAAAGGTAATTCTTCCCTTTCCTTTGAACTCCTCATGATACCACTTGGCAACCTTTGCGTGTGCAAGCCTATAATTGTTAGCTTTCGGTTAAAGGGGCATGCATGACTGTGATACCCACAAAGTGTAATGGCCACACAAGAAACGAGCCTTCAATCCTGGCCCGACGCCATAAGATGGGTAATAGCTGCCGGCAGGGTAGGAGGAGTATTGCCAGTTGCACTGTAAAGCTGATATTAGCAAAGTCGCTCTTGGAGCCCTGGTGGGACTTGGAAGCTAACGTATTGTGGCTCGTCTGCGTAAACAGTTATTAATGGTGTTTTCTTTTTCATTCTTTTTTTCAGGGAGGTTTTGTGGAGCAAACATACTGATAGTGAACCAAACCGGAACGTGTTTGTCATATCTTGAAATGACGAACTTGGCATAGTTGACATAATCGTCCACGATCTTGCGGCTTGTCCATCCCTACGAGAGCCAGTAATCAATATCACGATTGATCACTCGGTGGGTTAGCACTTAGGGTGCTTACACCGTACTGATTGAACAATGCTAATGGGGTATCCCAATGGAACAAGCTGATGGCAGGCTTGATGCCATTCTTCACCATCTCGGCAATCACGTCATCGTAGTGCTTTACACCGGCTTCGTTTACCGGACCGTGTCCAAAGGGGAAGATTCTCGGCCACGAGATACTGGGGGAGTAATAAGGAGTGCCCATGGCCTTTAGTCTAGCGAAATCTTGCTTATATAGGTAATAGTGCTGACCAAGGACATCCCCCGTGGAATTGTCGGCGACCTGGTTTGGCACACGATGTGACAGGAGATCCCAGATTGAGGGGCCACGCCCTTCGTCCTTTGCAGCCCCCTCAATCTGATATGCGGAAGCGCTGAGACCCCAGGCAAAGTTTGGCGGGAGCTTTACTGCAGCCAGCTCGGAGGAGAAGGTGCTTGCCACAAGTGGATGGAAGTCCCCAGGCCCTACTAGGGTTGCTTCCGGCGTGGGTTCAACAGTTGCAGTAACCCTGGCGTGGGTTGCGATGGGCCCAACCTGGTTCCAGAGTAAACCGAGTCTCTCGTTGGAATAGTCTGAGTTGGGGAGCTCGGTTGTTCCGGCAGTAGCATTGAACGACATCGTTGGAGTAGGATTCTATATTGTAAGGTCAATTGACATCAACTACTTGGAGGATAGGTGTCCCACAGTGTTGCTTTGAGCTTTGGCTACCATGGCAAATGCCAATTGGAGTGCCAACGCTGCGTACCGCACCATCCTCGATGCGGAAAAGGCTCAGTTAGAAGTGTTAATGGGGAGAAGAGCTCAAAGGAAAGACCGTGGATCTAGATGCCAGGACAGCTCTCCAGTGGCCTTTTGGAATGCTGGCCATGTACCTGGCCTTTATATACGGAGGTACAACCCCTAAGTTTGGTATATTTCACTAGCAAGGGGGTTCCCGGATAGCAAGGGTAAGATGCCCAAACCGGGCAGTTTTCTGTGAAAGCTACCCAATCCGTAGCGAACATTACTCAAATCGTAAGTTTTTGGCAGCCTCTAGATCCCCACATCTCCTCCCTCCCTAGCTCGCCAGTTCCACGAGGGGTTGGCTCGCGGTGTGCTTTCATCCTGGCTGGAGCAGTTATAGGCTTGATATATGGGTTACCAGACCATCTGAAATTCGCACATACTTTCCCCGCGTATGTTTCCTGAGTGGCGCTGTGTCGGCTACGTTCCGACCCCGTGCAAGGGCCCTGATTTGAAAGCCCCCACGGTGGGTGGGGCGCGGCCACGCGGGGGTCGTTTTTTTCTGAGGTAAGTCCGGTTGACCGCGCCCAAGCCCGGTCTGCCAGCCGGGAGAGGAACCGTGGAAAGTCTAGTCTATGCCATGCAGGGTAAGCTTGGCGATAGCGTCCGTTCAAAATACGGTGCTCGAGTGCGAGTACCATAACTGTTGTATGATACCGTATTTGCACCCCTCCCGCAGAACTCTGTGGGGCACATGGGTGAGGTGGGGTGTGATCCTTGCAAGCATAGAACACGAGCAGCTTCCATGACGGTTCCCCGGGGTTTCACTTGCGGGGGATCGGGCCGTAGGTGTTGTGTACCGTATTTGGACGTCCTGAACTGAGCAGTGGTTCCCCGAAAGAAGCACTGGTCCGACAATCTTCTCCTTAGTCTCCATCGCCCAACCCTATTGGAGGTAGCCGGCCTGTGTGCATAGCCATTGATCAATACCGATGCATGGAACGAAATAGCACAATGACGCTACAGGCCCCGTGAAGTGTCTGCTTGAGTCCGGCAATCTACCCGTAGGAATCACGTGCTGTAGAAAATCGAGGAAGGTATACCTCCATTTGGCTCGATTTTGTGCGGATAAGGGTTAGAGTGTTCATGGGTTGTCTTTACAACTGTTATAGCAATTTCCCGACACGAGCTTCCTCGAGAACTTCCAGCGGGTACTAATTATACCAGGACAAGCGCTGCTTGTATGAATACCGGTGCTGCCTGCGGTAAAAAAAAAAAAACGGGAGATGTGGAAACAAATTCAGGGGGATTCCGGGGTCCTGATTGGAGCATTCCGTGACTCTGGCCAAATTGAGGGACAATGTTTCCGGTCGCCGTTTTCCGTTTTTTTTACCGTAGGCTGTAGCGTTTAGCGCAGGGATCCGAATTCTTGATCTCGGGGTACCGGTACTCGAGCACTCGAGCAGACAGGCGCTTCCAGCATGGATGGCCGACAGTGGTACTTTACAGTTACCAACGGAGGATGGCTTCCGGGATCCGTAATCATAGCTGAGTACCGGTAGTTACTGTATGAACTGGCGCACCGCATGAGCCTCTATATTTGCATTAAGAAATACCGATAGGGTGGCTAGGTACTCGAGTGGTACCGGTACTCGTACTCGAGTGGAGAACGGGTGGGGGGGAGGGGATTACAGATACGAGTACTAGTACTAGTACTAGTACTAGTACTGTACCGTAGCACGAGTAGTGCGAGGCTACCCGTAAAATCTCGAATAATTGAACCGTGTGCTGTGTCGTTGGAGTTGCCTCCTTTGGTAAGGTCTGGGGTGTTTTTTTGTTTTTTTACGACTCTCGGAGGGGCTGAGCAGTCTTGTTTTTCGCGGTGTTTTTTGCCCCTTTTCCAAAGCAGGGAATTCTGGACTACGGTACATAGCACAATTGTTTTTACCGTTCATAAAGTGTCATCACATAATAACAAGTAATCACGGTGGGAAGAGCGCGAACGGATACCGTGCCATAATAACGGGAATAAGGGAAAACCCTCAGGATACCCCTTCTGGTAGCGACAAGGATCTAGAATGGCCTGCGCCGCCGCAATGCCCTTCTGAACCGGCGTATCATACTGTACTTGTACTAGTACGGTACTATTGGTTTTTCCTCCGATAACATAATTCACCTGATTGCTTTTCTTGCCTCTGCTGGCACCCGACTACATATCGAGGATAGCCGTACCGTATTATTTCGGACAAGATGAGATATAGGAGAATTCTCATGGAAAATGTCCTGAAGAAGCTAGTATTATATTTCGCCTAGCGCTGTGTTAGTACTCGTGCATGGTGTTGTGAGAAATCTCAAGTGGTTGAACCGGTGCTGTGCCGTCCGAGTTGCCTCCTCTGGTAAGGTTTGACGTTTTTTTGTTTTGTCTTTCGGAGGGGCTGGACGCCCCACCCGGTGCTGTGATTTTCGCCCCTTTTACGAGGAAGGAAAATTTGGACTACCGGTACTCGTAGTGGCCCACGGTTGAGATCCTACGGTATCGGGGGATGATGGGGGTTGGGTGTAATTCCTTCCAGCAAGATGTGATCATATAGGTGTTGGCTGGGCGCTGGGCAATGCCCAAATTCTTGGAGAGACTATTGAAATTGGATTTGGGGAGCACAGTGGCGTTAATGCTCCTGAGGTTTATTCTTCTCTCGACATTGGGACAGCCAGGTATAGTGTCAAACAGTATCAAGCAGTTAACTTGAGTGACGGGATAGTTGCTACCAGTATGCTCTACTAAGGTACTCTTACAGGCGCATTAGAAATGGTATTCTAGCTGTGCGGGGTAATTAAACCCCTGTCGCTATCTGGGGGTGCACTCCCATAGTTCTCCGTTAGAATGGCTTCGGATCGTAGAGAGCCTTAGGCCACAAGTTATCGTATCAGGTGTTTGGCCAACACCAGACAATAGAGTACTGATATTGCAGTCCAGAAATTGTTTTTTTGGGGGCGGCTCTATTACAGTGCTCTACCCTCTTTCTCTTGTTCTACCTTTGTAGGGATCGTACATGATTAGTTATCTTTTTCTGTTTACATATCATAGTATCATATCTGATTAGTGGTGGTTCAACTGCGGAAACGTTTGATAAGTGAGGTGTTTAGTTGGTTCACAAAAATCGAGTGATAATTTGTGAGTTCTGCCATACTGTATTGGTTCCGCAGGGCATTGGCTTTGCTCCCCATGGGTCCCAATTTTACCTGGTACCTCAAAAGGAGATTTTATACGCCGCTTGTCGTATGATTTCGGGTATTTGCGCGCGGGTACGGTTTCTCAGGTGCAATACTTCCCAAGCTTTTCTCAGCGAACAGCCCCTGATGCTGGAAATGCACTCAGCTGTACCTGTTCCTGTACTGCCCAGGCAATCCTTGGCATTCTCACGGATTCAACTTGCCTACGACTACGGTACTCGTACTGTGCTCGGATACGGAAGTAAAAATCGGGTACGCAAAGAAGCCTGTTATTGCGGCGAAGTACATATCGAATTGGCTGGAATTACTCAAGTAAAGAAAAGATCAGCATGTCTAGGTCTTGATGTGGCATGGTGATGATGCAAATGCAAGTGGTAGTAACTGTTGGCTTTGCGGAACTTGTGCTGCCTCTTAATGTTTAAGAAATACTTCAGTAGTCACCGATTCCATTCATTTATACCTCCTCGGTGACTGTCCAGTTTCATTACCAGGAAGAGATCACCTAGATGCAAGTGCTCTGGGGCTTAACCTCCCTCCCCCTCCCCCCTTTTCCTCGATTCCTCAACTGTGCGATTCCCGAGATTCCTAATTTTATCCCTGTCATGCTCGATTTTTACTTTCCATATCCGAGTACGGGCATCCGGGGGCCAAAGAAGAATGGTTGCAGTAAATTTACAGCCGGGCGCGATAAGCTTGTTTTCGTACCTTACTTACCCGGGGCAAATCGAGAAAACATCCCATGGCAGCTTTTCTTCAACCTTGGTATTTGACATTCCGGGGAAATTAGCTTTGGCGTGAAATGCACCAAATTTGCTGAAAAGGGAAAGAGGGGTTGACACGCAGGGGGCCCGCCACGGATTCCAAAGCCCCTCCTCAAGGACCACTATTTAGACCCTTGATTGGTTTCCGTTCCCCTCTTTCACCCTTTGCGAACCTCATCCTCATATTTTCACAAGCTCAATTTTTTTCCACTAATTCATAACAATGGCTTCTGAGGCTTCTGAGCAAACGTGAGCCTTTCAATTCAAAATTCCATCTCTTACCGAGAATCTATAGCTAACTTTCTTATCCCAAATCTAGTTTCATTGCGTGAGTTCGCTGGGTTATGGTACCTTGGCTAAATTTTTACTGACTCTTGTATCTGGCTAAAGCATTAAGCCCGACGGTGCGTTTTCGCTCACTTGATATGTCTGGACCCGCTTGCTGACGGTCTCTGTTTTCATAGGTGTGCAGCGTGGCCTTGTTGGTCCCATCATCTCTCGTTTTGAGCAGAGGGGATACAAGCTTGCTGCCATCAAGCTCGTCACCCCCGGCAGGGAGCACCTCGAGAAGCACTGTACGTTTGCTCTCAACGGGCTGTCATCAGCCTAGACTGACATCTACCCAGACGCCGACCTTTCTGATAAGCCTTTCTTCCCTGGGTGAGTGTACAAACAGGAACAAACAGACATTAATTGAAGCATGCTAACTGTTCTTAGTTTGATCAACTGTACGTTTTCCCGTACTGTGAAACGACCTTAAGTTTTTTTGACATTGAGTGCAGACATGCTCTCTGGACCTATCTGCGCCATGGTCTGGGAAGGAAGAGACGCTGTTAAGACTGGACGTGGTAGGTAACATGCGTGTGATGCTTTTATAGAGAAACTGTCTAATAAATGTCTTCCCTTAGTTCTCCTCGGCGCCACCAATCCTTTAGCATCTGCCCCCGGCACAATTCGCGGCGACTACGCCATTGTAAGAAGCCTTTCCTGTTATTGTCCTTTCGTCGAGCTGGGTGCTAAATCTCTTTATACAGGATGTCGGACGCAACGTCTGTCATGGATCTGACTCCGTTGAGAATGCCCAGAAGGAGATCAACTTGTGGTTCTCCAAGGAAGACCTTGTCACCTACAAGCAGTCCCAGCACTCCTGGATCTACGAGAAATAGATATTGCTTTCCGCCGTTGGTCGGATGTTTGAACCCTGGCTCTAGATAGTTTTTGCTTCTTCAAGTGAGATATTGGGCACCCTAGATGGAGAATCAGGAGGATGAAATCCCTGAAATAAAAAATAAAAGCGAGGCGTTTAAATCAAAGAAGAATGTTGATATTCGTCGACCTGTGCTGTGTGTAGGGTGGCATGTGTTGGGCCAATAATGCTCGAGTAATCTTTTCTCATTTTCCCAGCAAGCTAAGTTACGTCTTAATTATCGGTTGATCACGTGATGAGATAGCGAAAGCTTGGCAAAACTTTCCCCAGCAAAAGAAAAAGTTTGGGGCTCCTACTATCCTGCAGACCTCCACGACACATACATCTACAATTCGCCTCATGAATTTCGGAGGATTTCCACTCGGGGGCAAAGGCCTCGGAGGCACCGGTGGCAGCGGTGAACCTCTCACACCAGAACAGCAGCAAATGCAAATGGTCAAAACAGTCAGTGTCCCCCCCACTAGCCCGTCTGATAACCCCACCGCTAACTCCGACGGCAAACAGATCCAAGCCGGTATGGAATCCTGCCCCGTCAAAACAGTAATCTCGGGGGGGATGGGATTCGGCCTGGGCGCCGTATTCGGCCTCTTTATGGCCAGCGTAATCCTCCCCCACCCTCGCCCCCCCACACACCCTCTAACGTACGGAACCATAGATGTCCTACGACACCCCCATGACCGGGCTCCCCGGCGCCCCCGCCGCGGGCCTCCAAAGCCTCCCGCTGAAGGAACAGGTGAGGCGTGGCTTCAAGGACATGGGCCAGCGCTCCTACTCCACCGGAAAGAACTTCGCCCTCGTCGGGAGCATATTTGCCGGCACGGAGTGCTGCATCGAGGGATTTCGCGCCAAGAACGACTTGTACAATGGGGTTTCCGCCGGGTGCCTTACCGGCGGTGTTCTCGCGGCCAAGGCGGGGCCTCAGGCGGCGGCTGTTGGGTGTGCGGGGTTTGCGGCGTTTAGTGCTGCTATTGACTATTACTTGAGGCATATGGATTAGGTTGGTTTGTTGCTTTGTTGGGGGATGGAGGCGGAAGTGGTGGTGGTGGTGTTCTCATCTCAGTTCTTTTTTTTTTCTCTTTTTTTCTTCTTTAGTTGGGGTTTAGTATTTGTTTGCTTGCCTGCCTGCCTGGATGGGGCTTTACGAGTGTGAGGTTCTTAATTTCGGTGTAGATAGTTGTGTGCGGGCGGGAAGGGATAGAACGGGGTGGTTTGTATGATATGGGTAATAGATTGGTCGTGGATATGCTCGCATTTCTGGCCTACTGTGCACGATGGGATTATGAGTAAAATTGTGATATTCAGCTTTGGTATTCGAGTGACATATTGTGATGAGATCCACCAGTTGGAGATATATTTCCCGTGGTGGTGGTTCGGCGTGCGCTGGTTTCGGAAGATTCTCCTTGACCATGCAAAAGCAAAAGGATTCTATAGTAGGGAACATCCCCCAAACCACAAAATCCCCATCAACAAACTAGCTATCTAATCAGCAGAACAACACCCCGGGTGCCTAAGAGTCTAAACCTTCGACTCCCTCCCTCCCTTCACCTCCACCACCACCTCCCTCAAGCTCTCCCTCAGAAGCGGTGAAACCTGCTTCCTGCTCGCTACAAGGTTGAACTGCCTCCACGCTTTCCTGTCCCCGTCCTCCGAATCCAACCCTCCATCCCTCCAAGTCTGCAACTGCAAGTCTGCCCTTTGAGCCTTCTCCCCAAATGCGGCGATGGTACTCTTAACAGAGTCGTCAAGGGCCCAGACCATAAGTTCCCTCTTGAACTCGTCGCCCTGGCCAACCGTGGTCATCACGGAAACAAGGTCCAATTCCCGTTCCTGCGCCCAGGACTTGACGCCCTGGAGGAAGGAGTCCTGGCCTTGACGGCTCCCTAGCCAGTCCAGGTCTCTGACTATAGCCGCAATGCCAAGCTTCTTTCCATTATCCTCGGTCCACTCTTTCCAATCCTTTCTTAGGAGATCTCGCAGTGGCATGTAGCCGATATCATTCTTGGCATCCCACACGTCGTCAAAGAATTTCTGCCGGTCCCACTTCTCGCTACCGGGCTCTACAGGCATGCCTTTTATCACGCCTTCCAGAAATTCCACGGTGGAGGTGTCGTGCTCTGTGACCTTGTTCGTCAAGTTCGTGGTATCAATTAGCGCAGCGGCCAAGCCCAGCCGTGCCAATCCCCCCCTGACAACTCCGCTTGTAGGGAAGACTTCTTTGAAGTAATTGGTGACCAGTGAGGCACAGCTTCCGCTCCTCTCTATAATCCTGGGCTTCGCGTTGGGGCTGCCGCCCTCGTCTTCGTGGTGGTCGATTATTCCGCGGACGTTGGAGTCTTGGAAGAATACACGAAGTGCGGGTTCGAGCCTGTTGTGGTCCACTAGGGCTATCCGGGTGCTTTTGGGTAGGGCGGAGAGGGGCGGGTCGTCTGTGAAGAGGAGATCTTTGGGGGAGATCTGAAGAAGGTTTAGGAGATAGTGGAGTTCTGGTCTGAGCGCTAGGTCCGCCCGGGGCATCGAGAGAAAGGGCGCTGTTGGGGTTGGGGTGTAGTAAGCGTAGAGGACCGCGCAGGCAAAGGAGTCAATGTCTGGGAGATGTTAGTATGAGTGAATTGAGGAAAGGAGGGGTGGGGGAGTTGAACCGACGGATTCATTGCCAATAACTATGTGTAGGGGTTTTGGAGCTTTTAGTGACTCTAGAAGGGAGACCCGCGTCGTGGATATGAATTGTCCCAGAGAAGTTCGGATGATGGACATTCTTGCTGATCAATTGGGGGGGGTGTTTGGTCTACAGTGCAGGTGCAGTAGCAAACGTCGATATCAGTTTGCCTCTTGGATCCGTCCTGCATTGCGGCCATTCTAAATGTGGGGTAGGGTTAGGTGTCTGACTCGTCAATTGGAGCCTCATAGAGCCCCACCCCACCAAACACACTTCCACTTCCACGCTTCACCATTCCCCCATCATAACTCCCCAACCATCGGCCAACCGGAATGCCCCGCCGAACCTCCCCACCTCTGGAAGCCCTCGCCGCTCCAGAATATTGGGACACCCGCTACGCAACGGACCCCACTCCCTTTGACTGGTTCAGGAACCCCACGTCCATCCATCCCTTCCTAACAAGGCACCTCCCGCCCCCAACCTCCGATCCACCAATACTGCACCTCGGCTGCGGTAATTCACTTTTACCAGAGGATTTGCACAAGCGCGGTTACAGGGACCAGATCAGCGTTGACTTTTCGGAGGTTGTGATCCGGGATATGAGGGCCAAGTGCGAGGGTTTTGAGGGGTTGCGGTGGGAGGTCATGGATATTAGGGATATGCGTGGGGTGGGGGACGGGGAGGTTGGGGTTGCGATTGATAAGGTTCGCTTTCATTGCCGTGAAGGGTGGGTGAGGTGATGGCTAATAAAATGGCGGAGGAGGTAGGGTACGCTTGATGCGATGATTTCGGGATCGGTGTGGGATCCGCCGGAGGAGGTTAAGAGCAATACGAAGGCTTATATTAACGAGGTGGGTCCTTCTATGCATCCAGGAAGGTGGCGGGGTCTAATTGGGACTGGAATAGGTTGCTAGGGTGCTGAAGAGTGGTGGGTTGTTTCTGTATATTACCTATCGACAACCGCACTTTGTCAAGCCCATTATTACGCGGGAGGATGTGTGGCCGGATTTCAAGATTGAGAATATACAGGAGGAGGGAGGCATGTTTGAGTATTTTGGGTTTGTCATGAGGAAGAAGTAGATTGTTGGGCTAATGTTGGCTGTGGGTTTAGATATCATAGATGTGTATCATAGACTTGGGATATAGGTTCTAGCGTTCGAGGATTGATCTCCTTCCTTTGTGTGGGCTACCATATCACCCGTGTTGAGAGCTTGGACACAATTCATTGCACAACTCAAGCAGACGCGGGTCCCATATTATGAAAAAAAATCGACTGAATCATTCTTGGCTTCAATCCGGACAGTCTCAACCCCATCCACCATCCACAATGATTCCGTGGTTAGGATAAAATTACCATCCTTCGAAGACAAGAAAGTCAGACAAACAAGCTCCAACCAATCTCGAGTCCGGTCCTCAATTATACCAATCAACATCATAAGAATAAAGGGAAAAGAAGAGAAAAGAAAAGAAAATCAGGACCCATGAAGACCCCGTATAGCCACCATCTACCCTCGACCTTCACCACAATCACTGAATCTGAATCCTCTTAGCCCCCGGCTTCACGACCTTAGGCACAACAATCGTCAAAACTCCGTACTCAAGCGTAGCCCTAGCCGCATCTACATCGACGCTCCCAGGAAAGGTAAAACCCCTCTGAAACTCCCCAACCATTCTCTCGGCCACCAAAACCTTATCCGAGCCCGCATCCTTCCTCCCCATATCCCCCTCCTCCTCCCCAGCCTCAACCGTAGCCTTAAAGCTCTTCTCCTGCTTCTTCTTCTCGCCCTGCTCGCCACGCTCGATCCTGCCGCGAATCAATATAGTCTGAGCATCCGTAAACTCGATCACAGTCTGCTCCTTGTCGTGCAAGCCCGGAAGCTCGCCTTCGAGAATGTACTCTTGCTCGGTCTCAGTGACATCGAAGCTCGGGGTGAAGGAGGGTTTTTGCGTCTGGTGCTGGTGCTGGTGATGGTGCTTGTTGTGTTGGAGGGGTGTAGTCGTGGAGGAGGGGATCTGCGAGCGGTTCTCCATGGCGTTCTGAAAGTGCGGGTACTCGGCCGCGAGACGGAGGAGGTTTTGGAGGTAGAAAGGGGAGGTCATATTCGCTCCTTTTTTTTCTTCTGCCTGTTTGTTTGTTTGTTTGCTTGCTTGCTTGTTTGCTTTGCTCGCGAGTGATATTCGAAGAACGGAGAGTGGAGTAGAACTTTGTCTGAAAGATTTGGTTTCCGCAGAGTGAAATTGTACAGCAAACCAATCGATAATCCACAGCACCCTTGGGAGCCAAAACCAGATCTCTTTATACCCCCATAATCCCCATACCCACCCCGTTTGCAACTACGAGTTTACCATACGAGTACAATACCACTTACTCACACCATGACGTAGATACCACATCCACAACCGAACGGTTACTCACAGCGCGAGTACGTGTGATACCGTACCCGCAATCCCCACAGAACCACCTAGACACCCCCTCGCACATAAATTACCGTATCATATGACCGGTAACCCCGTACGCGTACAATAGTACAGTACTCGTACTCGTACAAATACCATCCCTTCACAACCCATCACTCACTAGAAAGTAGTAGAAACTTCTAGAATACCGTGGACTGGACCACTAACAAAACTTAATCATCGGTTAATTCTTGGCAGGGGGGTTTGCTGTCGCCACCTACCCCTGCCCCATTCGTGCAGGAGCTTGTACGGTATAAGTACAAGTACTCGTACGTAAGCGAGATGGATGGATGGATAGCGGTGATTATGGTACATTGAATTTGCAAGGAGATGCGCCTGCGGCATGTGTCAGTTCTGTCGTGTCTTGCTCGTGGACATGTTCTACCGGGTTTTGTTGGTGGGGTGGTGCTGACCTCGGGATGTCTCGGATTTTGTACCGGGCGGTGTCATCGGCTGTCACTCGGAAAATACTTTCTTTTCTCTTCTGTTCTGTTCTTTTCTTTTTTTTTTGCGTCAAAAGTGGTACGGTGAGTGGGTATCATAGGTAAGCAAGCAAGCATCGGTGAGTATTGGTTGGGCTTGCTCTTCTCTGCTCTGCTCTACAGGGCGCACATTGGGGGGAGTGGGTGAGTGTGGGTGGGCATTCGGATTTGCATCATACTTGTTCTGGCTGTGCCGTGGATTAACTGGGTTTCCTGTCAGGTGACACCTTCGGTGGGGTTCTAGGGGGTTTGAGATCGGTTTGTTGTGGTTCACTTGATGGGAGACACCGTGGCTTGCTGGGGGGATCCCCGGTCTAATTGTCCGTGAAATGTTATGCTTCTCGATTATGTGCTTCTGTGGGAAGGGGGAAAAAAAATGGGAAAAAGTCTATCCGCTCGATATCTCTGCAAGCCCGCCTTGCACTAACTCCTCTGTGTCGATGTCGGGCGGAGTTTCGGGCTCCTCTAATGCCTCCTTCTTGTCGCCCCCAAGTTTATTGAAGGCTTTTACATTCTTTTTGACTGCTCCGCCTTCAGACTTGAATTGATAGCCGCGTAATCTGTTCCGTATCAGCGGAGCGTTTCGCGGATTAAGGGAAGGTAAGCGGCACCTAGGTCCGTGCCCAGTCTTCTCCGGGAACTCCTTCGCGTAGGCTTCTGCGAAGATCTTGCAATCTTCTTCGAAAGTGCCCCGGGCGATGCTCTCACGGATGGTGGTGAAGAAGTCACTTACGATCTTGGCATTGTGACTGGGACTCTGTTGGTGAGAATCAATTGCCCACATTTAGAGAGGGGGGGGGGGACAGAACAGACATTTGCAAAAGCACCCAAGCCGTCATTTCCTTTGCCGTGAGTAAATGCTGAACATAAGCCCTGTGATGTTTCCTGCATGAGTAGCATTTGCACCCCACTGCTAGGGGCTCCAGACTTGCTCCATATTCCTTGTTCCAGAGGTCAGCGCCTAGAGCTTCCTTCTTCCCGCCGACTTCCCCAGGGAATTGGAATATCAATGAGATGCCAGCGTCCGTCATCTGTGTTAGGAACGACAGGTTGAGCACATCTACCCCCCAGCTGACCTGCTGTAGAACTTTGTGCGGGGTCAGTGCCTCGTCGAGACTTAACCTTGGCAATCCCTCCAAATCGTGAGGCAAATCCACTGCCAAGCGGGCGTCATATAGCGCGAGCCCCGATAGTGAGGAAATATGCTCCTTCAGATAGTTCAGGTAGTAGCTCTGCTGCTCAATATCTAACGGTAATACCGGTGCGAATATAGGTGTATTGGATGTATTCCGGTTGATAAGCTCTCCTAGCCATAACTCTGTCCGGAAAACCATCTTCGGCCTACGAATCTTTCCCGGTTCCTGGTGCGGTATATCCGGCGGGGAAATGGCGATATCGGGTCGCAGGTTGGATACAGCATTGAAGTAGTCTTCCACTTTCAACGCGCGAAAGCCCACGGATGTTAGAATCGCGATGGAAGCATCCGTGTTCGGGGTAGCAGTGGTAACGGGCGGCGACCTCCGAGGCGCAAGTACCAAAAGCGAGTTCGGGGGGTGTGAGATGAAATTTCGCAGCGTCGAGGGATAATTATACACCGGTACATTAGGATGGGACTTTTCAACGACTACCGTATTCACCCATTGATTAACCCACTGCCAAAACCAAAGGAATGGGAGAGAGGGAAAAACCCACAATCCTCCAAAGCGACATAGACAACCCTAACATCCGTATGATCCCTCAGGTTATCCCCAGAAAGGTGCGGAACGGCACCTCGGGAAGTCTGCGCGACGAAGCTCGGAGTATCAAAGCTAACCCCGCCGCCAGCAGCAGCGAGCCGCCCAACCCTTGCGCCGCCACTGCTACCGCCACCGGCGACACCCCCCGCCCCGGCAGCCTGCAGATCAAACACAATTCCAGGCCTAGTTGCCACAGCCATGGTCGAGACCTTCCGGGAGGGAGTAGGCGATGATGATGATGACGACGACGACGATGAAGATGGGCGGCAGCGGAAGGCGAACTGTAGCCTTCCGAGCCTCATTCACTCTTTTTTTTTCTTTTCCTTGTCCCCTACAGCGCCGGTTCAGGTTTAACAAAGTCTTCCGACCCCACACAAGATTACGGGACCGTAGAGAATTATATCCCGGTTCGGTGGGGGAGTACTGGTACCGTATGGTACAATACCGGTACCCTACCAGTATTTTTCTACTCCAAGAGGAGGACCCTGTCCCGGGCAGGAGAGTCACCGTTTAAGTTACGGTAATGATATTCCTCTTCTATTTGAAACGGTTGGGTGTGGGGGGAGAGGAGGATCTGCGGTTGAGGCGAACTCGGGACCCGAGGGTGAAAAGAGAGGGGTTGGATTAAAGTAGGGTAACTCTTGTTCTTCAGGGAGGTACAGGATCTAACGGTACCGGCAGTATAAAGTCCCTGATATTGGTGCCGGTGCATTGATCCGTGATATCGACACCGGTACTGTCGAGAGCTGAGCTACCGGTGATTTGGAATGACGTTAGGACATCCACAAATTCCCCCTATGGGTTAAGGGGGGAGAAAACACGGCCAATGGATTCTCTTTCAGTCCTCGGTTGTGGCTGATAAAAAGACAAATACGGCGGGCCTTTTAATACCGTGCCAGGAGGGGCAGCCAACTCTACAGTATTATCCTCCCGTATGATACCGCTAACGAGATTCCCTGGTTATCGCGCTAGGCATGCGGACGGATGAAGGCTTATAGTTATCGAGGGTCTCCATAGGGAAGTAATCTAAATCGATGCGACAACGGGAAGAAGTTTATTCCGACGTTGCTGCAATGGGACACAAGAGTGATACTCCGTGCGGCAAAGTAACGAGGGATCGGGGAGGGGGGGGAGGTCTTTTTAACCTTAATTGAAATTAAAACAAACTGAAGGTGGCAAGGTTAGCCCCGGAAAATTGTCTATACGGGGATGATATCATTTATTACGATATTGCTATAATAATAATAATATTATTATAAGAAGGTAGCCCCGGGGGAAAAACGCGAAGCGGAAGGGCGAGAGGAGAAAATGGGAGAAAGAGAGATTTCGCCGAAGTTCCCTTGGATGGACTGCCCATTCCTCAGCTCTTCTTCTGTTCGGACCCACAATTTCCTTGCCAGAGCGTCCCTGCTTGGATTCGCCGTCTTGGCCATGGGAAGCAGGTGCTCCCCGAACCATTGCTCCCAAGCTCATTGCTGGCACCCGCAAATAGACTTGTCTAAGCGCCTCTAACTTATCCGGCGGGGAGTGGGTCCCCGGGAATTTCGGCGCTTGCTGCGGGTTAATCCCCGGAGGCCCCGCTTTTGGCACTGCTTGTGGGTTAAGCCTTCTAAAAGTGTACTCCCGATCAACAAAGGGTATGATACATGTACTGTATAAGTTACCACTCCTCAGAGGGAGGGATACTAATGTATCGACGAACCCGGAACACGAACTCGCGGTCCGGATCCACCTCCTAGTCGCCTCCCTCCCCTTTGGGGCGAGGAGGCTGTATGATACCAGTTTGAGGCTAAGATTACGGCCCTTATGTCTTCCGGGGCTAGATTTTCGGTTGTGTATTGGAGGGCTAGGAGGGGGTGGTGAGTTAGGGGCAAGTGGCCCATGTAGTTTGTCCAGGTGGTAACGAAAGTTTGGTGTGGGGTTTGTTTTTCCTGAGGGAGGGAAGAATGGCGTGATACCGGTATAGTAGCTGTTTCTGAGAGGTGAGGGAAAGTGGGAATACGGGTTTATTGGAATGAAGGATATAGGTACCAGTGATGTTGTAGTAACGCAGGCCTTGGTTTCGGCGTGGATCGTAGGTGCTTAGCGTGAGATTACGTCGCGATCGGCACTGCCGGGGGGAGAAAAGGAGTGTATCGTAGAGAAGTGTAGCGTAAGAAAAAGGAAGACCCGGGAGCTCGGACAATAGAATCAATTGTTCCTAACCGTTCTCCGTTCCCCGATCGTCCTACGACTTCCACCGGCAACGCTTTTCCGCACTATCGGGGCGTAAGCTTAATACCTTCTTCCAACGTTAATCCAGCGTATAGCTTTCCCGGTGCTCGACTTGGCCCCGAAGTGAGAGAACTGGATGAGTACTGTAGAGTACTCGCACAACACCAGTGTTAGTCTCGGGGCTCGAAGAATTAAGCCCCAGTTGCGGGGATGGATACTGCTCGGGCGGAGAATCAGGCCCTTGGCCTCTCTTTGCCCCTATTTTCCGCGGTGCAAGAACCAACTATCCTCCCTGCTCGCGATACCGGTGGCAAAATATGATATCGATAAAACCTTTTGCTCGTGTCGTGAGGCTAAAGGAAACGCTCCCAGGATATACACGAACCCTGAGCAAGACAAGGAGCTTTCTCAATACATTAGTTCCCTTGATAGCATAAATCTACCGGTAGCATCGTACAGGGCGTTGGGGAAAATTGGGGCGAACCTGCTCTCATTGGCTCCTGGTTCTCTCGACCAATGGGTGGTAAGGAGGGGGGGGGGGGATATCGGGATGGTATCGTGATGTGGTTAGAATGTTTTGCCTTCCCCCGAGCTTTTTTTTTCCCCTTCGAGGAAAAACTGCCAAGATCGGCTCTTTCGATGGTTACACTCACCAAGTCATGGCTAGTTAAAGACTCGTGTTCGCCTCGCCTAGCCTCCCGTTACCGGGTTAAGGGTGAGTGAGGCGAGCTTGTGCTTGTTGGCCTCCGGGATCGCTCGGCGAGTGGGAGAGTGGAATCTCACGAAGCCCCTGCGGCACGGAATTTCCTGAGTTCGCTTGACTTTTTTTTTCCCCCTTGCGAAAAGAGAACAGGAGAGGAAAGAAAAAATAAAATAAAACGGTCGATATTCGGGAACTCTGTGGTTACACTCACCAAATTTTGGACTTGCCAAAACTCGGATTCTCCTCGAGACCCCTACCGGTAATGCATGTGCTCGAGCGGCCGAGTTGAAGCCGGACGCCTCGTTGCGGTAACGATCGGGGTATCATACCAATAATATCTTTGCACCTGGCTGGATTACTAAGAAAGAAAAATGCGGCACAGGATTAGAGTTAGATCTTATGTCTGGTACGTACCTGAGTCTGTAAGTGCATACAAGAAAATGCAGCTAAATGCCGTATCCAATACCAATAAACTATCTATACTCTTCCCTACTATCTGTTGGTATGTTTATTGACATGATACTATGAAGAATGGCCTGTTGTATCATAGCTTCTTATGAAATGCTTGACACCTATTATTATTTAGTTCCTATAATAACTTCTTTCAAATTGAAGTTAAGGCCTTTATTAGTACCTTATTAATAGACTTTACACTTAATCTTACAAAATGTTAAGTAGGGTTCTTGTTTCTTTTACTGTTTTTTATTTATTTAATATAGTTTAAATCTAATAACTTAGAGGACTACTAGTATTTAAATATGATAATTCTTTTAGCTATTTGGTCTTCCTAATATTAGTACTTTGAGTAGTTTGATGGCTAAGAACCTAAGTATTATTTTCAATCAGAGTAATAAAAGTAATAGATTATTATTCAACTAGATATATTTCTTCTCTATATATCTATCCTAGGTTTGATCTTTATACTAGCCTAATTTTTTTTTAAGTATGCTATAATATATGATTTACAGTCAAGACTACTAATATGTATTAGAATTATTTACTAGTATGGTCTTAATTATTATTAGCAACTAGACTTTTACTAGGACCCTAAAATCCTACTAAAAATTCCTAAGATCTAAGGCTTCCTCTAATCACATATACTAGTATATATAATGCATTTTTACTCTGAGAATACTGGAAATCTAAGTTGGGAAAACCTAAATATATTTCAAGGATATAGGTATGCAAACTGTATAACTATAAAGGAATTCTATTGGAAATCAAAGTTAAACTTGTTTAATATTTTTAAAATATATATATATATATTATACTTATAGACTCTGACTGCTTTATATAAAATACTAGTTCTAGTTTTATTATTTGTGTTTATATTAGTCAATTAGCTTCTTTTGTTTATTGAGTTTCTCAATGGTAGAGAGTATGTGGACTGACTGTAAATATGGAATAGTTTAGCCTGCAAATTGTTTTCTCTGGTATATCTAGCCATAATATTTCTTACTACTCTGGCACTGTATTCCTATTCATTTGCATGACACTGCTGAAATGAGGTGTCTGGCTTCAATTCAATCATGTGAGGAAAAACTATAAATGAACAGAGCAAAATAAAATGAGAGGTACCGGCAGCTGCTTAGCTTGCAGGAAATGCACTGTGCTTCTGTGGCACGTGACAGCCCTGAGGAAAGTCAAGACCTCGGTGGCAAGCCCCTGACAGCAGCTTGCTTACGTAATCAAGCTGTCTCACAGACCTCCAGTGAACTTCACTGCATGCCCACAACCCACTTTGGCAGCTACGTACGTTCTCCGTGCCGATTTCCATCCAACTCCCCAAGTCGCCGCCGCAGCAGCGCCTAGAATTGTGCCGTCTGCTGATTCGGTGTATGGGCAGCTTTGACCCTGGCGTTGTTGGTTGCGTCGTGGGGGTGAGGTTCTTTGCTGTTTGTTAGTGCTTCGTCTGTCGAGGGATCAAACTATTTAGGGATTTGGAGGGATATTGGTGGGAAAATCTCTCGCTGCGGCTGCGCCAGCCAAACCCCTAATATCAAGTTTCATAAAGTTGATATTTGCATGTGGTGCTTTGAGGAGAATCTTTTTCTTTCTTTCTTTTTCTTTTTCTTTCGATGGCTTCAGAAGCCTATCCCTCGGGTCCTGCTGCGAGATATGCCTTTGCATTATGCGCTGCCAGGTGTCTGACTGTTTCTTGTCGAACGCCGTGTTAAAGGTTTGATCTTGACTCGTGACGCTCGGCTCCGCATCGTGAAGGGGGATAAAAGATCGGGTGCAAGGGATTAGAGATCGGGCACGGGGGTTCTCGCCCTGCTGCTAGTTACCTAGTGCAGTACGGGTGCCCACTATGGGAATGTTGGCAAACTGTTTATTCTAAGCTAGCCCGCAAAATAATCCCTGTCTTGCACGAAGAAATCTTCCCGGGTACAATTGCTTGTACACCCTCCCCTGCGGATCCATAATTGGCTATTATCGAAGGACATCTTAACTCTTGATATTATAACCCAGGGGAGAGAAAGAAAGAAGGAAAAAGAAAAAAAAGGGTTTCGAGTGATATCTGGGGGGATCGGGATCGCTTGTGTGAGCTAGTCTCTGCTATCGAATACTTGGTGTCGAGGTTTCTATTCTGATCTTTCTCAGCGAGGGGGAGTACTTTATACCCACAAGAGGGTCCGGAACTCTACAAGTACCTCTATTTCCCAGGTAACTGTTCCACACGCGGTTGTTCACGGTTGCACGATGCCTTGAACAGGCATCACACGTTCGCAATTTGTAGCACAGTATTCGTTCTGGATTTGGTGCTCAAGGAGACTTGCCCTCACACTTGGATTTCCCGGTATGGACTTTGTGGGGTAGGCAAAGAGTCTAGGACGTAAAATATATCACAGAATTCGGATCACCCGACTTGCCCTCACGGAGGGTTGTGTTCTAAGTTTGAGGCTGGTGGGCCTGTCTGGCCTAATCCGGCCATAACAATTAACAATTGTTCCGAGAAGCGACACAGCACTAACGTCCCTGGCCGATCCAAAATCGGGAAATCTTAACGGGCAGCGGGAGGGAGGCAGTAGCCGTGGTCACTCACATACCGGCACCAAGTACCGGTAGCTGGCTTACAGGAAGGAGAGGAGGGGAAAGGAAAAAGGAAAATGAGACAATAGAACTACGCATAAATTAACAGATAAGGATATCACGACTATGGGAAGGGCTTGGCTCGTCCTGAGTTTTGCTGCCGGGTGACATAATCGGTCCCTATCAGGAGGTTCCAGCCCGGGGGCAGCCTTTATGGGCCCGACCAAGGAGAGACATCCTAACCAACGATTCACCTGGGAACTTCTCTCTAGCATTGTGCAGATCTTGCATGTGAACGTTACGAGTCGAACCTGAGGCTTGCCTTGCCCAGGTACGCGTAGTGTGGGACATAGCCCTGCGCATCGTTAGTTGGCCTTTTATCTGGTTCCCGTATGGGAAATTCGGGGCAAACCTGCTACCGTGCTCTGGCGCGGTGGCGCGCCGCGCTCGGACTGGATGGGACGGGGCGAGGTATCGTGTCCTCACTGTGGGGATTTCCAATGGAGTTACCTGAGTGGCGTGATGCAGCTATATCACGGAGAGCCCGGTCTTTCAGATATTTCCCTCCTGCAGTCCTTTTCTCCAGATCTGGGGAATTTGTGAGAATGGTTGGCGAAGTTTGGGATCCCCACTAGGCTTCTCTGGGGCAAGATAGCACTTTGTATGAGAACCTTCACGATTACCATACCTACATATATATATATATATACCAATGACCCGGAAGCCGGAAATACCACATTAATTCTAAGATATCGTCGGGGTTTTCGCAGCGATCATGGGAATGGCAAAAGGAATAATAATACTAGTCTGACATTAAGACTCACCTGTCATTATCAGGTTGCCTGCTTGTGAGACAAAGGGGTGAAAAAAAAAAATTGCTGAAAAGAAGGAAGGATGTAGAAGGGGGAAGAGGGGAGACCCCCTCCTGTGCCCCCTCCAAAAGCTCTTCTTTCCACCGACACCTGCTTGATTTTATACGTTCTCACCCCGGAATCCCTCCTTCAGGACTACAGCACTCACGCCAAACGTACACACTTACTTTATAGCCAGCTTCTCAGAAACCATGTCAGATAAGGGAGACGAAGGTGTGGAGCTCATCAATCCTAGGGAACAGACTGCGTTGGAAGATGATTGGACAAATATTAGTGATCCGAGGGAGAGAAGGAAAGTTCAGAATCGGCTGGCGCAGCGAGCATACAGTAAGTCCAGAACAGGCAGTTTCTTCGTAAGAAAGGAAAAGAAGGAGAAGGGCAACCTTTTGAGTTAACCACGATCAAACGCGAAATCATCCAGGACAGCGAAGAGCTCGTGAGCATAACTTGAAAATCAAATTCTTTCATCCGGCCAAAAAGGGCTCAGCGAGCAAAGGTTCAGCTTCGGGGGGCGCCTTCCACAGTCACCCAGCTGAGGTTGGAGACTCTCTTGGTATGCTACAATCTGAGAACACCCATTCCATCTATCACCCACATACATACCTACATTTGAGGTTATTATGGGGAAAGTTCGGCCGAATATTAGGCACTTTCTGCCTGAGGAGGACCCCTTTCCCTTTAGAAAGTCGATCTCGGTTTCTCCCTCCGAGTGGAGTTTGCTAACGGTGTGTTTCTGGCGTACAGGGGCCAATTTGGTCGTTGGGAATTCACCACCAGGGGATACTGAACCTGCCGGAGAAGCCTCGAAGCCAAAGCAAGAAAAGGGCAACGCCATCGCAGGACCCACGGATACGACTGATAGAATAACAGGCGTCGCTGTCCCCAACTTCTACATGAACACGGGTTTCGTAGATTTGCTCATGGAGGAGGCCACCGACCGTGTAGTCCCGGACACCAAAGAGGCGACGATAGCACCAGACCACCACCTGATCGATCTCCTCTACTACAACGTCCACCGCGCTTTCGAGTCCAATATCAGGACACTCGGCCTTACCATCCAGGAGATGGCACAACTCGACTTAATCTCCAACTTCAACAGCATCACCCTGGAGGACGGCGTCCTGGAGACCCTTGGGAGCGTGGAAGCGACCCCCCTTCTGATCCCCCAGACGATGCACCTCCCGCCCACCCTCCGTCCAACGCTCCTGCAGGTCTCGATCATCCACCACCCTTGGATCGACGTTTTCCCGTCTGCGAGATTGAGGGAGAATCTCCTGCGCGCCGGCCGCTCGTATGACCCGGACCAACTCTGTCTGTCCATCACGGGGTCTGGGAAGAGTCTGGGGGACAGTGGTGTCCTCGTGTGGGGTGAGCCCTGGGATCCGTATAACTGGGAGGTTACCGAGAATCTGGCGTACGGGTGGGCCTGGATGTTTGAGGGTTGTGCCGACATCATTCACTCTACGAATACGTGGAGATCAAAACGTGGTCTTCTGCCGTTGGACTTGAAGGTCTTCCACCTAGACAGCTAATTTCTTTTTCCTTTTCTTTTTTCCTTTTTTCAGTTATAATTTATATCCTCAGTTTCCCCACCCATCAACCTTCTTTTTCTCTGATATCCCTGATTTGCCCTATCTTGTCTCACTCTTTTATATTGCGAGCATACCCACTGCGCATCCGTCTACCCTATCCAACATATATAGGGGGGGGACAAGACAGAAACAAAACACATGGATACGCATGTGTGCCGACCCGCAATAACCTTTTTGTCATTTCCTTTCTATGATACATGTATTCCACAAGTTAACTCTCAATGTTTCCCCTCCCTTCCAATGAAATACTGTACCCTGCCCTACCGCACTCTCTTTCAACCTCCCCAATTCATATATATCGTCCTCCAACTATTATACCAAGTGTACCGTCAAATGAAAAAAAAGAATGCCGATCTATAAAATCCCCAAATGAAGGAAAAAGTTGAAAAAGGAGCGATCGAGCCCCCCTTCCTCTACTCGGGCAGTCAGATCTGTAAGCCAACACCTCCCTCCTTCCAAAACGCTCTCGCCCAAACGCAAACGCATAAAACAATCACATGTGATCACTCGCTTCACACATGGCAGTATCCTCGGTTGTGTCATGGCGCGGAGGCAGAATCACGCTATAGGTTTGGGCTCTCCGAATAACGCAATCCAATGGAAATATCATGAAGGAGGAATGTGTTTCCCCGAGACCACCGGGGGGGCCGGGGTAGGGGGGGGGAGGAATGAAATTTTCGGATCATTCCGCTTCTTGATGGCGCACAAGTGTCCAGTGCTTTTTCCGAGAGCTTAGCAAGCACAAGTACAGTACCGGTACCGTACTCGAGCAGTGGAACCGTGTGTGTGCCATGTAGTCGAGAATTCCCTACTTTGGAAAAGGAGCGAAAGACACGGCAAATGAAAAATATGAGCTACTATTCAGCCCCTGAAGAGAGAGACATAAAAAGACGGACGGGAAGATATATTATGTATCATAACTGTACCGGCCAGACCTTTCCGGAGGAGGCAAGTCCAACGACATGGCACACGGTTCTGGTATCGGTAGCGTTTTTGAGTTTTACGGTACTGTACTAGTACTAGTACTAGTGCTATACTTACTGTACGGTATTATACCTGCCAAGACGGGGTCTCGTATGAGGTAAATTGGGGAATACGGTAGACGTTGCGTTGCAACTGACGTACTGTACTGTACTGTACCGATACCGAAGGGACTAACTTAACTTAACTTACAATACTTTCTTCCACGCCCGGAATGAAGCTAGTAAAAATCCGCATTTTAATTACTGTACAGTACTGTACATCCCGACACCAAAGTTAACTACCCCCCCTTTTTTTTTCCCCCCCCTGCCATATTTCACGTTCTCGTATAATCCGTGGAATAATAGTGGATTACCGGCACTTTGGAAAACGAGATGAGGATTTCGTTGCGATCTTGCTTTGCTTTTTGCCTTGCCCGTACTATCTATACCAAACCAGACCAGACCAGACCAAACCGGGGCTTGCCGGTATAGTGCTGCACTGTACCACCTCAAAAGTGGGGGAAAGCCAAAAACAAAACAGAAAAAAACAACGACGGAACTTTCAGTGGCAAACTTACGTGTGTAAAGAAATGTGCTCTTCTCTTCCGGAAAAAGGAAAAATTCGTCGGGTGTTGTTAGGTTTGGGAGGAGGAGGGAGGGGGGGGGGGGGTGGGAATTTGATTCTACTTTGTGAAGAGAAAGGTCCTTCCTTTCTTCCTTCCTTCCTTCCTTTTCGGAGGGGGTTTTTTTTATGCTTCGTTTCTGGTGTGAGGATTTCTCTGGATGTTTGGGAGGTGGTTGGGGTTGTGATTGAGAGATTGAGAGTCGATGTGGCTTTTCTCTCTCTTACTTGCTTTATTTTTTTCTTCTTTCTTCTGGAGGTTACCCTTGTTTTTTGGTTTTTTGGTAAGGTGTGCTTCACCCACGGTACTTTTTGCAATGCTTTTCGATTCCGGTTTGGGGTGGGGGGAGGGGGGGTTGGAGTTTTTTGTTTTATGATACAATTTCTTTCTTTCTGTGGTTTTTGGTGGTGTGGACTATCCAGGACATGGGAGGGTTGCTTATGACGTTATCACTCGTTCGCAGTTCTTCGGCATAACGTTCTGGTCCCACCCTGGGACTGTTGGCGCTCTCGTTTTTTTCCTTGTCAGCCAGTCTGCCGATAATCTCGAAGATGAGCAGTGGAATACCAGTTTCCCAAGGAATGTTGATGGCATTTCGGTATCACAGGATCTAGGTGGTATCGGGAGATCTCTGAAAGAGGGATCGTAGCTACGATAACGTAGGGAGAATTCTATAATACCGGGAAATTCTCAGTTTAGCCTGGGTCTCATGGAAATCCCCGTGTCAGGTGATTCACACATACTATGGTCCAAAGGGTAGACTGAAGGTCGTCGATATGACCACTCCCAAACCGACCTCTAGCTTAATTTCAACAACATTAAAATATCAGCTCTACTACTACTCCAGCAAAAGAAGAGGGATTGGAGATTGTGAAACGGACCGGGGAGCAAACGGTGGGCTCGGGAAGAGCGGTAACCTCAAGGGAAGGGAAAAGAAAAAAAAACCGGTATACCAACGGTAGCTTGTTATCCGAACGCTGGCCCTGTTCCTAACGCTTGAAGCAACAAGAAGAAATCAGAACAGTAATGAAAATGCATATTTAGCCAAGCACAAAGAAGGGCCTTGAGGGATTTGTATATCACTAGGATCCATTCTTTCCTTCTGCCCTGAGCTTAACCACCTGAGTGGCAGGGGACATGAGCGGAAGATTTAGCTGGCTAGGGGTGTTGGTAGATGTCGATACATCTCTTGGCTTCTCCCTCCCTAGGGCCCCTATCCCCTTATTCTGTCCCGATCCGTTACCCCATGAAAATCTTCTTCTCACGTTTCTTATAGTCACTGATGCTCTGTCCAACGGTGTCTGGTGGTTTACCGGACGGTATCGTATGGGTATACGCGATGTAAACTTACCACCAGAGCAGGATGAGGGGACGAGTGATGGGCTATGATGGGATAGTCAGGTTATATGCCGGGGTGAGAAATTCTGGTTGTTGTATGTTCGGGGGATGTGTGGGGGTGCGGTTGGGTTAGGGAACAGAACTTCTACTTTATCTCTTGGGCCGAGTATTCCTGAGGTATCGGGTCTCATCTGAGGCTCACTGCTCATTCATGATGGTGTTTAGCCTATATCTGCTGACTATACGGTAACCGACGCACATAATATTCTGATATGATATATCGTAGAGCAGATACAGTGTTATCTGATGAATCCATAAAATCCCATGAGACCCCAGATCCTGTACAGTACTACAATAATGTTAGAATACAGTAACTGTTTTTCTTCACGAGTGTGATATTTGAATTTGGGACGGGGCGGTGTATGCCTTATTTCGGGCAAGAATAGGGTATTGGCTTGCATTCCAGGGGGATATTCTCTATGGTAACAGCTCTTTGGGGGGAGAAGCATGATATATGCATTTTCGTTCATTGATATCGCATTCTTTTGGCATCGCCGGTCTATCGACGGGGTGGATCGAGCAGCGCATTGCGTCCGATAGGATACAGGGCAAGGGGATCAAAGGGAGTATATATAACAGAGGTTTAAGGCGGCTAAAATGGGGTCTACTCTTTCCTGGTGGGTTATGTATCGAAACATGGAAGGTTCACATTGGTGGTGCGTTACACCATCCTCCTATATACTAGTCATTCATCCCTCTGGAGGTCTCACTGAACCCTAGTAGGCCCCCATGCTCTTGGGCCTCGGGGTGTGCGGGTTGGTCGTCTCAGTCGGGCTACGGGCGCACAACGGCAGTGTCGTGTATGTCCTTTGTATGATAATTCTTCCTCTCCCCCTTTTTTTAATTACAAAGATACATTTTGGGAATACAATGGGACTCGAGGGAGTTTTTCTGCAGTGTTGGTCCCTGGCTGAGCTGTGGTATGTGATAGTTGATGTATCCACCAAATCTTGCCTGAGCTTTTCTAATCAGTCCGTCTCTCTCGGACTTGTCGCATATAAGCGGACACTCGGTATATCACAATATCATTGTAAAAGATGTGCTGCGATAAAAGATACTTTATAATGTAATCTATAAATATTTTAGTTGATTATGGAATCCGGGAGTAGAGAAATATATGGCAGCATCGGGGTGAAAAAAGAAAAAGGGAGGGGCGATAGGAACGGGGTTTTCTCTCTTTAGTTTCCCATACAAATGCTTTCAGCTTTTCAAGCATTATCCGGACTCTGCGTCAGGCCAGTGATTGAAAGAAAAGCTCGGATTCCGACTAGCAGTCCACCCGAAGCCAAAGTGTGTAGACTCGGGCTGCCCGCTCCTTAAGAGGGTAGAAAGAGGTAGGACGCAAACTCTATCAAGATGACTGAGTATACATGAATAAATCTTTAGCCATTAGCACTCGCGCAGGGGTGACAGAAATCACACAATTTTTACTGAAATAGGCTAAGCAATCGTAAAGCACATAATACTACTCTGATTGATTCTACCTCTTCTTTGGGTGAGTTAATAGCCCATAAAGTCACGCAATTTTGGCGCAATACGGCAACCTACCACTGATGACTTTGGAACGAGGATCGTATCATACTCGCTGGTTCATTTGCTATGCGGACTGCCTAAGTTATACCCCTAACCCTCCCGATTGGTGGGTTAGGGTTGTGGACTGTCCGTAGCAAATGAACTAGCTACAGGTAAGTTAGTATCATACTGCGCTACGAGTAATGAAGAATGAGGAAGTGAAAAAGACAAAAACAGTTTGAGGCCCTCTGGCGAAAAGCATTCTGTAATCCACAATACGGGTGTCGTGTGCAATGCAAGTGAACAGCACCCCTCGCTCGAGGATTTGGTACGGGTCAGTCTTTTTGTTCGCCCTGATATCCGCGGCTGATCTGTGGCCAAAATCTGTTAATCTGGAGTGCGGTGAGAGCTCTCTTGGCACTGTTGATTGTCACTGGATCAGGCCCACACTGGTACAAGTACTTGTGCAACGCCGGAGCCTTAAATTTATAAACTACCGGTAATGCCCCATTTTCTCTGCGAGTCCTGGATGTTCCCTCGTGGAAAGAGGTTATATTCTGATTGCACAAGATCCCTCTCTATCCCTCTCTCAAAAGGGCGATTCGGATAATAGACAATTGCGAAGATGTCCACGGGGCACCAGCAGGTCACTGGTAATATCAACTCGTTCAATGTGAACCAGCGCTTCAACATTGTCAACTCCACTCTAGAACCAGACGAGACAAATCAAATTTTGCAGTGGCTATCGCCACTTGAGCCACAGCAACGGCACCAGAGTGTGCGAACCGAGCGACTCGAGGGCGTGGGAAACTGGGTACTGGAAACCGACTGGTTTAGAAGATGGAGTGATGAGGAAGATGGTTGCGCCGAGCCAATTCTGTTCTGCCGCGGCGGCCCCGGGGTGGGGAAAACGTATTTGAGGTAGGAAAATCTCTTGTCCGGAGAAAGGTAGCGCAGATGTCACTGACGGCCGGCAAAAAAATAGCTCTCTGGTGATTGACAACCTGTGCGACCGGGCTGGGGGAGGGGACATTCCTGTGGTGGGATTCTATTGCGATTTCCTTGCCCGACAGGAACAGTCCACGACAAATATTTTGGGCGCCATCCTCAAGCAACTTGTCCGTGGAGGGGAAATCCCAGGGAATATACGGGAGGCTTTTCAGAGGGCTAAAATGGAGTTTGGCGGCCGAAGACTCCTACCTCCCGATCTGGTAGGATTTCTGAAGGATTTCATTTCACAATTACCACGGGTATATGTGTGCATCGACGCTTTAGATGAATCCACTCAGAAGCACCAACAGGAGCTCCTGGGGTCTCTGCGAGAAATTGTTCGGGCGTCACCAAACACGAGAATATTCCTTACCGGAAGACCTTATATCGACGACGAGATTGTGAAATATTTTAGCAAGGCTGTTAGGATATCTCTCAGTCCCGCCCAGGGTGATATTAAGAGCTATCTAGAGATGAAGCTGGACGGGGACACTGATCCCAACGCAATGGATGGCGAATTGAGGGCGGACATTATGAGAGTCATTCCGGCCAAGATCTCAGAAATGTAAGTAAGAATATCAAGTGCATTCCCAATCTGGGTCGGAGCTATTATTCACTATGTCCAGTTTCCTCCTTGTTTCTCTAAACATTGACGCAATTCTGGGCGAGACTACCCTCCATCGGAGAAGGAAAAAGCTTGATGAGATGACCGGGGGGGATGGTCTGAGAGATGCTTACGCGGCAACACTGGCACGAGTGAAAGCGCAGCAAGGAAGCAGGTCGAAACTCGGTATGGAGGTTCTAATGTGGATATCGTATTCGGCGCGGCCATTACATGTCGACGAGTTGTGCCACGCGCTGGGGGTAGAAGAAGGATCCACTGATCTGAACACTCGGAATATTCCTGCGATAGAAACACTGCTAGCATGCTGTCTAGGGCTGGTTACGGTCGAGAAGCCCTGGTCTACCGTCCGCCCTGTTCACTACACTCTGCAAGAGTACCTCTCCCATGATCCCAACCTGTTCCCTAAGCCCGACTCGATGATTGCGGAGGTCTGTCTGACCTACCTCAACTTTCGGCAAGTCAGGGGCTTTTCGCCTAGTCTTTGGGATGTCCCACGTACCGCCCCTTTTGTGGGATATGCTTCTTGCCACTGGGGCACACATGCTAGACGGGAGCCCTCCGAAAGGGTGAAAATGCTTGCACTAAAACTTCTCGATGAATATGATAAGCACATATCTTCTAAAATACTTTTATTGGGTGAGGAGTATCGTTCGAACAAGCCCTTTGATCCGGAAGGCAGCCCCAGGGGATTTACAGGGCTTCATGGTGCCGCATACCTTGGATGCGCGGAAATGACAGTTGCTTTATTGGAGATGGGTAAATGTGATGTACAGGCGACAGATTTCTGTGGTAACACGGCAATCTCCTGGGCTGCTAGAAAGGGGCATGAGGATGTCGTTAGGATATTGTTGAAGCGGAAAGACGTCAATCCCAACACAGTCGACACCAAGTACGGCCGAACACCGCTCTCGTGGGCTGCCGGGTGTGGGTATGCTGGGGTTGTGGGGATATTGCTGGAGCGGAACGACATCAATCCCGACACAGCTGACACTAAGTACGGCCGAACACCGCTCTCGTGGGCTGCCGGGTGTGGGTATGCTGGGGTTGTGGGGATATTGCTGGAGCGGAACGACG